TGTATTATATACCTCTGTCCAAGTCATGAAAATTAAGGCTTGTGTGGCAGAAAGACATTATTATCTACTCCAGTCCAAGTCAAGAAAATTAAGGCTTGTGTGTCAGAAAGACATTATTATCTTTCCCTGTCCAAGTCAAGAAAATTAGGGCATGTGTGGCAGAAAGACATTACATGTATTATATACCTCTGTCCAAGTCATGAAAATTAAGGCTTGTGTGGCAGAACGACATTATTGTCTACCCCTGTCCAAGTCAAGAAAATTAAGGCTTGTGTGGCAGAAACACATTATTGTCTACCCCTGTCCAAGTCAAGAAAATTAGGGCTTGTGTGGCAGAAAGACATTACATGTATTATATACCTCTGTCCAAGTCATGAAAATTAAGGCTTGTGTGGCAGAACGACATTATTGTCTACCCCTGTCCAAGTCAAGAAAATTAAGGCTTGTGTGGCAGAAACACATTATTGTCTACCCCTGTCCAAGTCAAGAAAATTAAGGCTTGTGTGTCAGAAAGACATTATTATCTTTCCCTGTCCAAGTCAAGAAAATTAGGGCATGTGTGGCAGAAAGACATTATTGTCTACCCCTGTCCAAGTCAAGAAAATTAAGGCTTGTGTGACAGAAAGACATTATTATCTACCCCTGTCCAAGTCAAGAAAATTAAGGCTTGTGTGGCAGAAAGACATTATTGTCTACCCCTGTCCAAGTCCAGAAAATTAGGGCTTGTGTGGCATAAAAAAAACATTACATGTATTATATACCTCTGTCCAAGTCATGAAAATTAAGGCTTGTGTGTCAGAAAGATATTGTCATCTACCCCAGTCCAAGTCAAGAAAATTAAGGCTTGTGTGGCAGAAAAACATTATTGTCTACCCCAGTCCAAGTCAAGAAAATTAAGGCTTGTGTGGCATAAAAACATTACATGTAATATATACCTGTACCACTGTCCAAGTCAAGAAAATTAGGGCTTGTGTGGCAGAAAGGCATTATTATCTACCCCAGTCCAAGTCAAGAAAATAATGGGCTTGTGTGGCAGAAAGACATTACATGTATTATATACCTCTGTCCAAGTCATGAAAATTAAGGCTTGTGTGGCAGAAAGACATTATTATCTACTCCAGTCCAAGTCAAGAAAATTAAGGCTTGTGTGTCAGAAAGACATTATTATCTTTCCCTGTCCAAGTCAAGAAAATTAGGGCATGTGTGGCAGAAAGACATTACATGTATTATATACCTCTGTCCAAGTCATGAAAATTAAGGCTTGTGTGGCAGAACGACATTATTGTCTACCCCTGTCCAAGTCAAGAAAATTAGGGCTTGTGTGGCATAAAAAAAACATTACATGTATTATATACCTCTGTCCAAGTCATGAAAATTAAGGCTTGTTTGTCAGAAAGATATTGTCATCTACCTCTGTCCAAGTCATGAAAATTAAGGCTTGTGTGTCAGAAAGATATTGTCATCTACCCCAGTCCAAGTCATGAAAATTAAGGCTTGTGTGGCAGAAAGACATTATTATCTACCCCTGTCCAAGTCATGAAAATTAAGGCTTGTGTGTCAGAAAGATATTGTCAATTACCCCGGTCCAAGTCAAGAAAATTAGGGCTTGTGTGGCAGAAAGACATTATTTTCTCCCCCTGTCCAAGTCAAGAAAATTAAGGCTTGTGTGACAGAAAGACATTATTATCTACCCCTGTCAAAGTCAAGAAAATTAGGGCTTGTGTGGCAGAAAGACATTATTGTCTACCCCAGTCCAAGTCAAGAAAATTAAGGCTTGTGTTGCTAGAAAGATATTGTCATCTACCCAAGTCCAAGTCAAGAAAATAGAGGCTTGTGTGACAGAAAGACATTATTATCTACCCCTGTCCAAGTCAAGAAAATTAAGGCTTGTGTGGCAGAAAGACATTATTGTCTACCCCTGTCCAAGTCACGAAAATTAGGGCTTGTGTGGCATAAAAAAAACATTACATGTATTATATACCTCTGTCCAAGTCATGAAAATTAAGGCTTGTGTGTCAGAAAGATATTGTCATCTACCCCAGTCCAAGTCGAGAAAATTAAGGCTTGTGTGGCAGAAAAACATTATTGTCTACCCCAGTCCAAGTCAAGAAAATTAAGGCTTGTGTGGCATAAAAACATTACATGTAATATATACCTGTACCACTGTCCAAGTCAAGAAAATTAGGGCTTGTGTGGCAGAAAGGCATTATTATCTACCCCAGTCCAAGTCAAGAAAATAATGGGCTTGTGTGGCAGAAAGACATTACATGTATTATATACCTCTGTCCAAGTCATGAAAATTAAGGCTTGTGTGGCAGAAAGACATTATTATCTACTCCAGTCCAAGTCAAGAAAATTAAGGCTTGTGTGTCAGAAAGACATTATTATCTTTCCCTGTCCAAGTCAAGAAAATTAGGGCATGTGTGGCAGAAAGACATTACATGTATTATATACCTCTGTCCAAGTCATGAAAATTAAGGCTTGTGTGGCAGAACGACATTATTGTCTACCCCTGTCCAAGTCAAGAAAATTAAGGCTTGTGTGGCAGAAACACATTATTGTCTACCCCTGTCCAAGTCAAGAAAATTAGGGCTTGTGTGGCAGAAAGACATTACATGTATTATATACCTCTGTCCAAGTCATGAAAATTAAGGCTTGTGTGGCAGAACGACATTATTGTCTACCCCTGTCCAAGTCAAGAAAATTAAGGCTTGTGTGGCAGAAACACATTATTGTCTACCCCTGTCCAAGTCAAGAAAATTAAGGCTTGTGTGTCAGAAAGACATTATTATCTTTCCCTGTCCAAGTCAAGAAAATTAGGGCATGTGTGGCAGAAAGACATTATTGTCTACCCCTGTCCAAGTCAAGAAAATTAAGGCTTGTGTGTCAGAAAGACATTATTATCTTTCCCTGTCCAAGTCAAGAAAATTAGGGCATGTGTAGCAGAAAGACATTACATGTATTATATACCTCTGTCCAAGTCATGAAAATTAAGGCTTGTGTGGCAGAACGACATTATTGTCTACCCCTGTCCAAGTCAAGAAAATTAAGGCTTGTGTGGCAGAAAGACATTATTATCTACTCCAGTCCAAGTCAAGAAAATTAAGGCTTGTGTCAGAAAGACATTATTATCTTTCCCTGTCCAAGTCAAGAAAATTAGGGCATGTGTGGCAGAAAGACATTACATGTATTATATACCTCTGTCCAAGTCATGAAAATTAAGGCTTGTGTGGCAGAACGACATTATTGTCTACCCCTGTCCAAGTCAAGAAAATTAGGGCTTGTGTGGCTGAAACACATTATTATCTACCCCAGTCCAAGTCATGAAAATTAAGGCTTGTGTGGCAGAAAGACATTATTGTCTACCCCTGTCAAAGTCAAGAAAATAGAGGCTTGTGTGGCAGAAAGACATTATTATCTACCCCAGTCCAAGTCAAGAAAATTAGGGCTTGTGTGGCAGAAAGACATTACATGTATTATATACCTCTGTCCAAGTCGTGAAAATTAAGGCTAGTGTGGCAGAACGACATTATTGTCTACCCCTGTCCAATTCAAGAAAATTAAGGCTTGTGTGGCATAAAAAAACATTACATGTATTATATACACTGCACACACAAAACCATCCACCCATGACACACACACACACAGAGCCATACACTGCCTACTACTTTGCTTACAAATACTACACACTAACAAGTCACACACACACACACACACCCAAGTACTGCAGATGAGCATAGTACCTAGCTACCTGGATGTCAACTGTAGATGGCACTATTCTGTTTGGCTACTTGGACACAACCCCTCTCTAAAATTTGGACATTTATTTTGGGCTTTTTTTGGGAGAAACTTTTCTTGTGTGACTAAATCTTAGTTGATTAGAAATGACATGTCAGACATCTTAGACACTGAATATGATAGTTTTCTTGTGTGGCTAGACACACAAGTCTAAAGTGACACACAAGGATATCTCATACGTAAAACTAAACACACAAGCATACCATCGCAAACTCGGACGGACGGACGGACGGACGGACGGACAACCCGAAAACATAATGCCTCCGGCTACTTCGTAACGGAGGCATAAAAAAGGCAATGGTATTTGTATTGAAGGATTTACATCAAAAAGTCCTGCCATCCCATGTATGAAGGTTCTGAACTTGTCATGGACAGGTAGTCGTCTACACAATTGGCATGACTGGTAATATTCTTTCACTGTTGCATTTTTTTTTCAATGTTAGTAATGAGGATTATTACCTTAGGAAATGGCACAAGCGCATCAAATTGGTTTCGAACCCAGGACCTACCAATTCTGAGACAACTGATCTCATGCTAAGCCATCGTGCCTCCTAAATTTTACATACCGTATTTGCCGACGTAATGGCCACATTATTTTTGGAAGAGAAAATATCAAAAAGTCGGGGTGCGGCCTTTGCGGCGAAACAGTAAAAAAAAAAAAAAAATGTAAGTCCAAACCAGCATGAATTTGCACATATGGGACTACGAACGGTAAAATAACTATACCACTATGGTACAGGACATTTCCACACATCTTACCGACAATTTTATCTTGCATTGTTGACATGAAGATGAAAATAAACTTCCAAAAACAACATCTGCCGATAGATCTTGATCTAAGTTCATGCCAATGCATTGCAAAAGTAAAAGGGCCCGTTTAACGGAGCTGCCGCGAAGCATCCAGCACGCAAAGTCGCCATTTTCATTCCATTTCAATGTATACATCAGAGAAAACTGCAGGGTATGGCATCAGTGTGGGATGGCCGAGCGGTCTAAGGCGGTAATTTTTTTTCCAAATTTTTTTTCCAAACTTTTTTCAAAATCGGGGGTGCGGCCTATGCGGCGCTGCGGCCTTATCGCCGGCAAATACGGTAATCAACCGTTGCCAATCACTTCCAGTCAGATTCTTTCACAAGATTCCATGACCAGACAAAAAAATTATGTTAAAAAATAGCATAATTTCAAAAAAGCATTATAGCTACCTGTATCTATCGACTGGGATGAGTTTGCTCTGCGTGTCATACTGACGACATTTCCTGATTGATCTCAAGACTCTCTCCTCCATATCGGGCATCTCAAGACGAGACGCGAGCTCCTGTATCCTCTCTGGAAGCTAGAAAAATAAAGAAAATGGGCAGATGAAGGTCATTTGTTAATAAATTGTAAAACCCATCGAGATAAATTCTGGATTTGTGCTCATGAAAGTTATGTAATCATTGTTCATTATACAAATTATACGCAGTGTTAATGTGATCGTTTATGAGAGTTAGTTTATCTGACAAAAAGGAGTATTCTGACTTACGTCATGGGCTGAAATAGCGCCATCTACGCTTTCCTAATTCCGACATAGCAGTAGCAACGAATTGGATGTTCGCACCGAAATCTTGTCCTAAATTACACCTGTTATTGATACGAAGCCAACCCGTTTGCAACAATAAGGAGGCAAGAAGGTTCGTTAATTCGATATATTAATGTATAACGAGTATAAATAGTATAAATAATGAGAAATGATGATATGAATGTAATCTAATATGCTTAAGTGATAATGAATGGTGTGTGTAGTATTAGTGTATGCACGGACACGTATGATACCGTATACGGCTGTAGGGGACGTTATATATATTCAAATTAGATGCACGTAAAACAGGTATACGATATATACGATATAGAGTGTAAGCTAGGGTGCTACGTAAGGCAATGTTAATTGTATGCACGTAAATAGGTATACGATATTAACGATACGAATGACGTGTCCGCTATAAGAAGGACGCAGTCATTGATATGCGTTATGCTAATAAGTCTTTGTGATTCAAACTATCTACCACGAATATTGGTCACGTGACTTGAGTGAAGGTATTGTTTATAGATAATTGCATATACACAAATGATAAGAGACAAAGAGAAGAAATTCATTTGTTATTAATCACTGCATTTAATAGGCGAACTGATGATATTATTTATACACATGTATTCGAAAATGCCTGTATGAACAATTACTTATAATCTGTTCTTTTTCTTTATCATGTTTTGTTCATACAGTTTTCACGGAGCAAGTGTGATGGAATTAGTTGACATAGAATAAATTAGCAAGTCAACCCTACTACGACTTTTCATTGACTGTTTCTTCAGTGAAAACTTCACTTCACTACGACTTGCAACCTGCGATGACGTCGTGATTCAGATTACGTGATTTGGTACAAGATGTCGGAAGTGGACATGATGGGGGACAAGGAGAAGGAAAACCCTGTTGCTGAAGCTGTGGACACAAGGTCAAAGCGAGAAGTCAAACTCACTGAGAAAGGTCTGCAGTATCAAGCTGAAACAAAAGGGAAGGAATTTAAGAGATCCATTAGTGCTTGGCGTAGAGCGTCGAATAAGTTAAGAGCTACCTTGAGCGACATCAGTGATGTCAAAGTTATTCGACAAGGTAGGGACGCTCTGCAGCAGGTGATGGACAACGCCATATCCGCTCAAGAAGACCTTCAGATTCTATTGGAGTTGGCAGGAATCGACGATGACAGCCATGAAAGGCTCGACAACATCGAACAAGAACACTCAGAGCTGATGAAAGGAGTACAAGAACACCTCCTCGAACAAGAATCGTCAAGAAAATCTAAAGTTTCATCGAAAAGACTATCATCCTGTCAAAAATGGGTGAATGAATGCTCGTTTGAAAGCCAGGATGATGTGCCGACTAAAGATGTGCCGACCAAAGATGTGCCAACTGAAGATGTTCCGACTACAGAATTGCCGACTAAAGAACCCTTGTTAAATTTGCTGACTCAGCTACAGATTGGTCGCTTGCCACTGCCAGAACCAGATATCTTTTCTGGGGATCCACTGCAATACCCTAGTTGGAAACAGGCCTACGACATCTTAATGGAACATCAAGGTATTCCTGCAAGGGATCGATTCTTCTACTTAAAGAAGTATCTACGTGGCCCACCTCTCGAACTCGTGCAAGGATTTTCTCTGATACACAATGATATGGCATACAATCGAGCTACGAGTGAACTAGAACAGAGATATGGTGATCCATTCATCATTTCGAATGCATTTCGTGACCGACTGGATAACTGGCCAAAGATACCTACAAAGGATTCCAGAGGACTGCGTAGATTCTCTGATTACCTACGACAATGCCAAACAGCAATAGAAAAGATCGGCAACCTCCGACAGTTAGATGACGAACGTGAGAATAGGAAACTCCTATCCAAACTTCCCGATTGGCTTGTTACTAAATGGAGCCGACGAGTCTATGAGCATAGGAGGTCACATGGTACATTTCCTTCATTCGGTACCTTCTCATCATTCATTGAGGAAGAGAGTAACATTGCATGTGACCCAATCACGTCCATTGGTAGCCTGAAGGAGGACAAACCGAAACAGGACAGAGGAAAATCCATGAGAGCGTTAACTACGAGAACCAGCTCCATCCAAGATGAGACAAAGAGGCCAGAACGGAAATCATTCTGTATATTCTGTAGAAATCATCATCACCTTGAGGATTGTCAAGCCTTTGTCAATCAGCCTATGTCCGAGAGGAAGAAGTTCATAAGAGAAAAGGGCTTGTGTTACGGGTGTCTCAAGAGAGGTCATCTGACCAAAAAATGTCGAGTGAGAAGCACATGCAGAGAGTGCAACAAGCGTCATCCTACGCCACTACACTTTGACAGAAGACCTTCAGAAGAAAGGGAAAGGACATCGAACCAGGAAGAAATACAATCTTCAAATTCACATACACTTGTTAATTCTAACGCCACAAGTTATGTGAAAAGCGCGGCAATCGTGCCAGTCTGGCTGTCTCATGAGAATATGAAGGAAGAGAGGCTCGTATACGCACTATTAGATACTCAATCGGATACCACCTTCATATTGAATTCTACAAAGGATGCCTTAGGACTTCATGGACTGAGGGTCAACCTTCTTCTGTCTACAATGTCGACCAAGAACGAAAGGATTCCAAGTGAGAAGATTAAAGGACTCACAGCTCGAGCCTTTAACAGTGAAAAGGTGATACACCTTCCAGCTGCATACACTAGAGACATAATGCCAGCCAACAGAGAACACATCCCCACTCCTGAAGTAGCTCGCTCTTTCCCACATTTGGTTCCAATTGCTGACCAACTTCTGCCTCTGAAGCACTGTGAAATAGGATTGTTGATCGGCTATGATTGTGGAAGAGCTCTGACTCCTCGAGATGTGATTCCCTCCCAAGACGATGACGGTCCATTTGGAATGAAAACTGACTTGGGATGGAGCATAGTGGGTGTTACAAGTCAAGATGAACAGCACTACAACCCCGATGATCACGTTGGCCACAGTCATCGCTTGACAGCACGTGAAATACCCGCTGAACTAGCTGAAAGAGACATGTCCATCAAGAAGAGAGTAACGTTCACTCACAACGTTACAATCAAAGAAGAGATCAGCCCTTCGTCTGTGCTGAAGCTGATGGAAAGAGATTTCTCAGAGAGCAGAAGTGAGGTACCATTTTCGCAACATGATACAAGATTTATGAGAATCATGTCGGAGAATGTCCATATCACAGATGATGGTCATTACGAGACTCCTCTTCCCTTTAAAGAAGATGTCGTCAACCTTCCCAACAACAGATTCATGGCGGAAAGGAGATTGAGTCATCTAAAGAGAAAGTTTCAAAGAGACTCTGAGTATCATCAGAAATACTCGGAAAAGATGGATGCTCTCTTGGAGAAAGGATATGCTGAAAGTGTACCAGAATATGACAAGCAGAACGGCCAAGCATGGTACATTCCCCATCATGGGGTAGTACAACCCAACAAGTTACGAGTTGTGTTTGATTGCAGTGCAGAATTTGGAAAGGAATCTCTCAACAAGCAGCTTCTTTCTGGACCAGATCTGACTAACACACTAGTGGGAGTACTTTGCAGGTTCAGACTGGAACCAATCGCATTTTGTTGCGATATACGTGAGATGTTCTACCAATTCAAGGTGAAGGAAGATCATAGGAAATACCTACGGTATTTGTGGTGGAAGGATGGAGACTTTCTGCAACAGCCCCATGAGCTAAGAATGACTGTCCATTTGTTTGGGGCGACGTCGTCTCCAGGATGCTCAAACTTTTGTTTGAAACAGATTGCCAGCGACCATGCTATTGAATTTGGAGAGGATGTAAAGAACTTTGTACATCATAACTTCTACGTGGACGATGGGCTAATATCTGTTCCTACCAAAGAAGAGGCCAAGAATCTGATCTCGAGAACCAGAGAGATGTGCAAGAAAGGAGGCCTCCACTTGCACAAATTCATCTCAAACACCCAAGAAGTGCTGGAAACAGTTCCGGAAGAGGATAGAGCAAAGGGCACTACCAAGACTAATCTCCTACAGGATAAGCTTCCTTTGCAGAAGGCACTTGGGGTGCAATGGTGTGTGGAATCTGACACGTTCCAATTCAGAGTCACACTCGATGACAGACCTCTAACCAGGCGCGGAATACTGTCAACCGTGATGTCGATCTATGACCCTATGGGATTACTAGCCCCGATTGTCTTACCTGGTAAGCAGATTCTGCAAGAGCTGTGTAAGATGTCTGCTGATTGGGACGACCCCCTGCCAGATCATCTCAGAGAAAGATGGGAGAAATGGACAACTGATCTGCATAATCTTGACTCCCTATCAATACAGAGATGCTACAAACCTGCAGACTTCGGTGAGGTTACGACCATGCAGATGCACCACTTCTCCGATGCTAGTTCCGAGGGATACGGCCAATGCTCATACATGAGAATTAAGAATGGAGAGGGAAGAGTCCACTGTATCCTGGTGATGGCAAAGTCCAGGATTGCCCCGCTCAAGGCAGTAACAATACCCCGTTTGGAACTATCAGCTGCCGTTGTTTCCATTAGGGTGAGCACATTTCTTCAGCGAGAGTTAGCCTTGGAGGACATTGAGCATATCTACTGGACAGACAGCAATGTGGTACTTGGATACATAAACAATGAATCGAAGCGGTTCCATGTGTTCGTAGCAAATAGGATCTGTGAGATCAGACAACACTCAGAATCATCGCAGTGGAAGCACGTTCGAACACAGGACAATCCAGCAGATGGAGCTTCCAGAGGGTTTACCGTTGACCAACTCATCACTTCGAACTGGTTCACTGGCCCAGATTTTCTATGGGAAGAGACGGTTCCTCGCGCTGATGATCAGGAGGAATTCGAGGTTTCACCAGGTGACCCCGAGGTGAAGAAGTCTATGGTGAACGCGACTGTAATGGGTGACTCCAAGTTTGATCTGAGTCGCCTAGACCGATTCCCGACATGGTATAGAGCAAAGAGGGCGATGGCTTATTGTCTGCTGTTCATCACAAGACTGAAACAACGTTGTCAAAGAAAACGTACAAGACAGGCAAATGATGACTCAACTTCCCAAGGCAAAGTCTCGGTGCAGAATCTACAACAGGCAGAAACTGAGATACTGAGACACGTCCAGAGTGAAGCCTTTGGGGAAGAAATAGAAATCCTGAAGTCAATCCAGAGGAAACAGGATCTGAATGACAGGCAGAGAAGACGTCAAATAAAGAAAGAAAGTCGTCTCCATGGACTTGACACTTTCCTGGATAAAAAGGGAATTCTAAGAGTTGGAGGAAGAATTCGAAGGGGAGACGACTCATATGACAGAAAGCATCCCCTGATTCTCCCACAAAGAAGCCACGTAACGGACCTTGTGATACGTCACTGTCATGAGTTGACTGCTCATCAAGGAAGAGGCATGACATTGAACCAGATAAGAGAGAATGGATTTTGGGTTCTTGGAAGCAGTAATCGAGTGGCCAATTTCATACGAAAATGTGTCATATGCAATAGGCTACGTAGTCCCGCACAAATACAGAAGATGTCTGATCTACCGTCTGACCGTGTGTTACCTGCAGCACCTTTCACTTACTGTGGCATCGACTGCTTTGGCCCATGGGTGATAAAGGAAGGTAGAAAGGAGATGAAGCGATATGGACTCCTCTTCACATGCATGCCTTCGAGAGCCGTGCATATTGAGACACTCAATAGTCTGACTACAGACTCATTCATTCAGGGATATCGTCGCTTTGCTGCTCTGAGGGGTCCAATACGTCAACTGAGATGCGACAGGGGAACGAACTTCGTTGGCGCAGAAGCAGAGTTAAGGAAAGCGTGGTCAGAAATGAATCACGAACATGTCAAAGGCACTCTAATGAAAGAAGGATGTGACTACGTACAGTTCACTTTCAACGTCCCCGCGGCAAGCCATATGGGTGGAGTATGGGAGCGCCAGATAAGATCTGCCAGGAGAGTGCTTGAAACTTTGCTGTATCAATCGAGTAGACAACTCAATGATGAATCACTGAGAACACTGATGTATGAAGCGGCTGCAATTGTCAATAGCAGGCCGCTGACTGTGACTGACCTGAACGACCCAACATATTTGGCTCCTCTTACGCCAAATCATCTCATAACCATGAAGTCGAAAGTCTTACTTCCTCCACCAGGCAATTTTCAGGACACTGATTTGTACTCCAGAAAGCGTTGGAGGAGGGTACAACATCTGATCAACGAGTTCTGGGATCGTTGGAGAAAGGAGTTTCTCCAGAACTTACAGACACGCCAGAAATGGACTCGGCCCCGACGGGATGCTAAGATTGGGGATATCGTCATCATGAAAGACGAGAACTTGCCACGAAATCAATGGTCCCTAGCAAGGATAAGCGAGGTCTTTCCTTCTACCGATGGACTCATTCGTAAAGTGAAGCTCGTAAAGGGTGACTCCGAACTTGACGACAGCGGTAAGCGTAAAGGACCTGTGAAAGAACTAGAGCGTCCGATACACAAACTGGTTTTGCTGCTTCCGCGTGAAGACCAGGACGGATTCCCGACCAAGGAGCCTTGAATACTGTAAGGTAATTAATATCCCTCACAAATAGGTTTTGATAGATTTAAGTAAATATAGAAGTCTGAACATAAGACTATCCAAAATTCGAATTACCCGCAAAATCTGAAAGTCTAGAATAAGACTAGTCAAATAATCTAATTGAAGTTTTAGAACCAAGAATATCTGTAATTGGTCTGTAACAAAGACTATGCTGGAACTGTAACTACAGACGCACATCAGCTGAAATGAAGTCTAATTGAACTGAGTAAACTCTTGAACTAATTGATCTGATTGAACAACAACAAGAACTCTTTTTGTGGATTGACGACATTTCCGAATGAGCTGTAATGACCTTTATTGCTGTTTGTTTTTTGTTCTCTGTTTGAAAAAATGTAATCTTATCAAATTGGAAGATCGAGCATATGACAACTATATTTGTAGAAAACGGAAATTAAGTTGATATACCTCATTTTATCGCATTAATTACCTTGCAAAAAATTACAATGTGATTGCACTTATAAGAATGTATTTAAAGGGTATTTCAGTTCAATTTCATCATTATGCTTGTATGTATTGTATACATGAATGAGCATTAGATGTGAACCTGAATTGAAACCCCCCTTTTGCAACGTAAATTCATGCAGAGTATTTGAACTGAGAGTTGATCCAGGTTATTTTCTCGATTTCTAAATCCAGTACTTGCAAATACAGCTAATTGCTAGTCATAAATGGTGAGTTGCAAGGTCTGAGTGTTTGAGACTCGCGGTTAAATTTAATTTAACTCAGATGCTGTAATAAGATACTTGGTACAAGCTCTGTACTAGAGATGAAGTAATCTCACGATACAATTTGAACTGTAAATCTTGAATAAAGATTTGTTTTCCTGCATGCGCAATTGATCATGTACGTTTCAAGATAAGTAGAAATTGAAATTTTGAGATGTAGATCTATATGTATACATATATTGATATATTTTGAACTATTAATGTTGATAAGGAACAAATAATCCAAGTCATTTCTATGAAGCTAAAAAGGGGTAAATTAATTATTAATTTAAAGGAGCCATGTTAATGTGATCGTTTATGAGAGTTAGTTTATCTGACAAAAAGGAGTATTCTGACTTACGTCATGGGCTGAAATAGCGCCATCTACGCTTTCCTAATTCCGACATAGCAGTAGCAACGAATTGGATGTTCGCACCGAAATCTTGTCCTAAATTACACCTGTTATTGATACGAAGCCAACCCGTTTGCAACAATAAGGAGGCAAGAAGGTTCGTTAATTCGATATATTAATGTATAACGAGTATAAATAGTATAAATAATGAGAAATGATGATATGAATGTAATCTAATATGCTTAAGTGATAATGAATGGTGTGTGTAGTATTAGTGTATGCACGGACACGTATGATACCGTATACGGCTGTAGGGGACGTTATATATATGCAAATTAGATGCACGTAAAACAGGTATACGATATATACGATATAGAGTGTAAGCTAGGGTGCTACGTAAGGCAATGTTAATTGTATGCACGTAAATAGGTATACGATATTAACGATACGAATGACGTGTCCGCTATAAGAAGGACGCAGTCATTGATATGCGTTATGCTAATAAGTCTTTGTGATTCAAACTATCTACCACGAATATTGGTCACGTGACTTGAGTGAAGGTATTGTTTATAGATAATTGCATATACACAAATGATAAGAGACAAAGAGAAGAAATTCATTTGTTATTAATCACTGCATTTAATAGGCGAACTGATGATATTATTTATACACATGTATTCGAAAATGCCTGTATGAACAATTACTTATAATCTGTTCTTTTTCTTTATCATGTTTTGTTCATACAGTTTTCACGGAGCAAGTGTGATGGAATTAGTTGACATAGAATAAATTAGCAAGTCAACCCTACTACGACTTTTCATTGACTGTTTCTTCACGCAGCAATGAAGGCATTAGAAAGAATTACCCATACAAGGTACATTTGGAACAGTTTAACACGCCAGAGGCGATAGCCCAGGTTATTTGGACTGTTTTGAAGGTACTGAGTGTTGGTAATTTTACTAATGCCCGAACAAAATGATGTGTATTATTTGTTTTAGAAGATTATTTTTTATTTGTTTTATAAAATGATGTTTTATAACATGATTTTACTAATGACCGGTCATTCTCCAAATGACGCATTAGGCAAAATAAATGCCTGGTGACGTGTACGCTCTCAACCAATCATTTGATTAGGATCCATGTCATCATCTTATAATAATTGATAGTCATCGATGGCTCATTCCCTGATACACAGGTGAAAGTCTTCTCACAAATTGTATTCGTGAAGCACCTTCATCACTTATTCTAAAATACACGAAGTAGGATGTCTCCATGTGTATAAGATCTGTGGATATTGGTGGGTCAAAGCTAATTACGAACTGGTCTATCGTAGATACAGAACGGGCATAAGCATAAAAAGGTCATGTGGGAATAGACTAATTGGGTATTAGACGAACACGTTGTAGACCAAATGGGAATTCACCACTCATTTTATACCTGTCCCTCTCCCATGAGTTTGCTCTTGGTCAGCCACAGGGCCTGGTTCACACCTTCCTCTAGCCGACACCGATGGTTGAAGATGTAGGTCTTCTCCTCGTGGTAGTGAGGGTTGTCCTCGTTCATGTGAACACGGTTCATGTACCTGGGATGGAAGTCTGCTATCTTCTCCCTGGAAAGGATGAAAGAAAATGTTTCTTATCCCATTGAAGACTGTTACACTTTGATATAAAGTGCCTCTTAAATATGTTTTAACAGGTCGAATCAATACCTCACCCTGTCAAAAAGTATATATATTATCGTGGTAGTGTAAGTTGTCTTTATTTACAGCAACACGATTCAGTAATCGAGGATGATAGTCTGCTATATTCTCCCTGGAAAGGATGAAAATAAATGCCTTTTTGACAGACTAAAGATTATTTTAAATAGGTTTTAAAGGGATCCAATGGATTACCCCTTGTAAGTGTTATGTGTTTTCTCATCATGGTAGCATTGGTCAAATTCAATCAAAGAAATACGACTCAAATACCTGGGATGACAGTCTGCTACCTTCATCCTGAATATAAGGAAAGGAAATAGTAATCTTTTTTTTAAAGGGGAACTAATACAACATGCATAAATGGGGATACACTGATGACACAGACACCGACTGCAAGTGTGGAACATCCATGCAATCTAAGTCCGCACTTATTAAGATGCCCACTCCTAGATGACCAATGCTGCCTGGAAGACCTAGTGGCAGCTAATGAGAAGGCTCTTCAGTGTGCAAGAGCCTGGCAGAACATTTGAGCACAGATGATGAAACGTAAGAAGAAGAAATATTTTTTAGAAGATATAGCATCATCCTGCACTGAGATAATTAAATGGTTCACAATTGAGCATGAAGGAAATCTAATCATAATAATCCAATCTCTGCTAGTTTCTCCCTGAACAGGAGCCTGCAGGTTAACATGTCATTCCGATGCAGAACATGTCTCATTGTTCCTTGAGACTTACTTTGTTGGTATGTTGTAGGGGCTTGGTAGATCTAACGTCTCATAAATCTTTCTCGCTGTCGTCTTCCTCTGCTCCTTGCCCCTCTCACGGATCTGCCTTTTCTTCTCCGGCCGATAACCCCGCACAAGAATCCATTTCTGGCCTGGAAGGATGAGGGGACCTGTCAGGAGTCTACTACCAGCTAGGCTGCTAGACTTGAGAAAAAGCCTAGTGGTCATGCTGGATGGCATGGTGTGATGTACAGTAGCGCTGCAAAGAAAAATCAAGCAATAATTAAGGTCAAAACTTCTCTTTAGAAAACCAGACCAGCCTACACTGTACAGTAAATTGTGAGTAAATTCAAGATCTAATAAATCCATTTTTAATTTTCTGTTTTGTGTTGTTTTAAAGGTACTATGTCCCATTTGCAGGCCAAAAAAATGAAAAATTTAAATTCCAACTGCATTTGAAAGATAATACTTATTTAGAATTTCCCTAAAAAAGGCGGGGCTTGAAAATGTCTTCAAGTGGGAAAATAATGACTATTAGTTGTCAAATCGACTTTAGGGCTATAGAGCCCAAAAGTAATAGTCTTGATTTTCAGACAATAAATCGAATGGTCATACGTTTTATGCTGCGCAAAGATTCAATCAGTTTAATACTTTAATCTTGGCCATCACAAGTAGTGGGTTATTGATGTAGACAAATGCTCATGTACCCTTTACAACTATTTTCATGTATGTTATTACCAAAGAAGAAAAAAGCCAGTCAGTCACTCAATAGTGTCTGACAGTGAAGTCTAGCAAGTAAACGGGTTTCCTTGCATAATTTGAATATGAGGACACTGCTAACGTTTAAATTTCACAGATAGGACATACATGACATATTCATAATTCCTGCAAAGTTCTACAGAATTTGAGGTTGGCTGCAAAAGGGACATAGTACCTTTAACTTTGTCCGTTAAAGAAGTCCGTTAAAGAATAAAGGTACATTTTAACATCCTGATACAGTCCTCTGTTCATCTGTTTTTCTTTAAAAATGAAAATTGATACTGAAACAGCAACTCCTTGACCCTAATTTTTCAAGATCTTTCTTTTGTTCAATCTTAACAGTCAAAATGGACTTCCATGATTTTAGTTAAAAGGGAAAATAACTGGAATAAAAGAGTTCTAAAGTTTGATTCTGTCTTAAGTTTTAAAATGGAATCCAATTTTAAAAAACTTGGCTTGAACATTGCAGCCACATTTCAAGTTAAGAAGTGGCTGCTCACCATGGCAGTGCCTAGGCTTTATTTAGTTTCAGTATTTTAAAAAGTAAAGTACAGTAAAGGAGGGGGTTTTCGGCCACTTAAGACAAAATCCTATTTTTTGGACCCTTTACTTCCTATTTATTATCATTTCTTGTTCAAATCATGAAGCAAATATTATTTTTTTTTTTTTTTAAAGAATCCCAGAAAAAAATCACGAATTGCCATGACAATATTCATTTCAATTTTCACTGTTTCGGAGTCAGTTATCGGCATAGCAAACCAGTTTTCGGCCGCATGTACAAAGTCAATAGGAAGCGCGCTCGCCCCATGCATTTCCGCGCTGATCTATAGTACTAGCGGGCGGAGCAGGTATCCCACGACGGAGCTCCCCGGAGCTCGCCATGCCGAAAACTAGTACTGCGGTGATCGGATATTGGAATCTGAATTAGACAGAGATATCGTGTGTGCGTTGCGGTGTCCGGCTGCATTGATTTAATTAATACATGCGGTGAGATACTTTTGAGCTTGCGACTAGCACAAAATCGGGCTATTAATCTGAAAAATGCATGAAATAAAACTCATTTTATGGTACCCAAATTTCTTACAGACACGCGTAAGATACTCAATTTTTCAGATTCGGGTAGCGGGACCGCCGATTACATCGCTAAAATGTGATATTTTAGGATATATTTTTCATTGCAAATGTGGTTCTTCAGTGACTCTGGCATGGTATGGTATGTGTGGGATATGTGATATGATATTATGCGATGTATTGGAAAGGGATTTTACCATGCATCCAACCAATCGGCCGAAAACTCTAAATTGAAGGAATGAAAACGCAATGCCGCCAACAATCAACATGAAAGTTGAAACATGCCAACAACTTAGAATTTAGCACCAGCAATCAACATTAACAAGCAGACCTAGATCTAGATCTACAAGCATACACTGTAAATGAGCACCCAAGTGCAATTCATCAGTATTCCATCTTTACTTATGGATCCTGCTGGGTATCGACGTACAAGAAGTCGAGAGCAAGTTACAAGCCGGTCGGCCGCCTGACCGACCGGCGCGGCGAGGGAGTCTCGGCATGAAACGTTCACTAAGCTACACTGACCCAATTTTCAATAGATGGGACACAAAAGGCTTTAGTTTGCTGATTTTCATTGCACTACTCACATAATCTACAGAACACTGCATGCATAATATGCCATAGCATTTGCATACGATACATTATTAATACAATCATACGTTTATTCATAAAAAGTAATGAAATTGGACTCTTACATGTACTGGCGATCTCGATCCTCAGCCAAAATCTTTACCCACGTTCCGGCTGATGTACCCTAAAATCGAAAATCGAAAAAGAAAAAAAAGGAGAAGAATAGGAACGATCGGTAAAAGAAGAGAAAGAAGAAGAAGAAGAAGAAGAAGAAGAAGAAGAAGAAGAAGAAGAAGAAGAAGAAGAAGAAGAAGAAGAAGAAGAAGAAGAAGAAGAAGAAGAAGAAGAAGAAGAAGAAGAAGAAGAAGAAGAAGAAGAAGAAGAAGAAGAAGAAGAAGAAGAAGAAGAAGAAGGAGAAGGAGAAGAAGAAGAAGAAGAAGAAGAAGAAGGAAAAGAAGAAGGAGGACGAGGAGGAAGAGAAAGAGGAAGAAAAGAAGATGAAGGTTATTTTGTAAATGCCCCTTTTCCTTCTCTCTCCCTATCCCCGCCCTCTCCCTCTCTCTAAATTGTCATGTATTCTAAAAATGCATTATATTAATAATATAATCATATCACAGCAGTCAGATAGCATAGAGCGGGTACAGCGTCGATCACTCAGGATGATATCATACCCTGATCAACCAGCACTATGAGGAACTCCTGAGCAGCTTCGGCATTCCCTCCCTTGCCAGGCGAAGGAGTGACTTACTTACCAACTTTGCCAAATCAATCCTTGTCTCCTCGCGACACCGTGATTTGCTTCCGGCTGAACGACAGCATCTCTCGCGAGGTGGACTTAGGAATTCTAACCACCTACACATTCCTTATGCAAGAACTGAACGATATAGAAAATCAAGTGTCCCCGCACTTGTCAAACTGGTCAATGCTCAGTTGTAGATCATCTATAGTAATGTGTCATACTTGTTTTTCTTCTCTTTTTTTAATAATATTGGAGTTATTGTTGTGTTACTTTGTTTAATTGAACTCAAGATCGATCCGAAATTCAAAATTCCGTGCACATTTATTGAGTGCTCTTCATTTTTCTTATAAAGTTGTTCTTAAACCACCGCGTATAATTCTGCTGCAATAACATAATTGTAACTCAACTCCAATTTAAAATTGAATGTGGAAACTCAACAATTATGAGAATTTGTGTATGCTCATGGGCACTATACATCACTTTTAATTTTATATGAAATGCTTTAATGATATATTCTTAATGTAATAATTCTATTCAACATAATTTGACCTTACCTGTCACACAACAGATACACCTGCATGTATATTTTTTCAGTCTATGGATCTCATGTTAACAATTGCAATATAATAATTTCCTCTCTCTCTCTCTCTCCCTCTCTCTCTCTCTCTCTCCTCACTCTCTCTCTCTCTCTCTCTCTCTCTCTCTCTCTCTCTCTATATATATATATATATTTAATAATTGTTTAATTTAAAGATTATTTGTACTTGCAATAACTGGTTCAACATTTATTATCATCCATCTATTATCATTTATTTATATATGTATATAACTTTAGGTATGAACAATAATTTTAACTTTATCTTTCATCATTTTTATTATACATTTATATGATTATTCCTGTTTGTATGCCCATTTTATGTAAACATTGCATTATTGGTCACTGGAATACTGCATTGTACATTATATTGATATTAATAAAAACCGAAATTGAATTGAAAAAAATTGAATTGAATTAAATATACCTTAAATCGAAGCTTGCACCTCACCGATACGCAGGTTAGCTCTAGATAATGCCCTACGGCTGATTAGCAGGCACATAGCCACGGGTCGGGGGGGGGGGGCACGTGCCCCTCAAATTTTTTTCCAAGATTGGTTGAACTTTTTTAGACCCCTCCCAGGACGTCGATCAATTACATGTATGTGCCTTCCCCCCCCCCCCCCCCACATCACACTCTGGCTACGGCCCTGCTGATTAGAGATAATGCACTCGAGTCTTTTTAACGAGTTCATTTGCGAAAAACGGGCTTATATTATAGACGACTGGCAGAAATGGGACTAACAATAAGCTAATAATGCATTATTTGGTTGGTAAAATATGAGAATCTCAAATGGGAAAATTAGTCGGTGCCTGTCCCATTTTGTATCATATTACAATTTTCCCGGGTCTGATTAGCTTTTTTCGTGACTGTTTAAAGGAGAACTGTAATTGTTCTGAGAGATCATTCTTGCCCATCAATCTTCAAGATCTCCCACCAAAGTGTATGAGAAAGGCATGAAGCAAGAATAAAATAAGTTTCTCAGCAAGACATGGGCATCGCCATTTTCTTGATTGCATGACGTAGGCCTACTAAATTTATGGATGCTTCCTTCCCAAGTGTTGTTGTCAAAGCATTTCATTCACCTGCTATGCAAATTGCATAAATAAGTTGGTGCTGATCTCGAGGGCGTAGGTGTCGCATAAAATGAATAGATTTTTCAAACGCTATGTTTATGTAATTTTAAAAATAATTAGAGTTACAATTTGTAATGTTACCCTATTATACATTTTCACCAAATGTAGTTTTTTCCTTCTCAGTTGTGATTTTCCTTTATTGAAAAGTAAAACTTTTGTTATGAAAGTCTTAGCTTGCCGCAACATGTACATCTCCGCTTGGTACATAACTTTTTCAAGAAAATGGCTGCGCCCATGTCATGCTAAATAAAAGGCATTAATCTTTATTTATATATCTCTTGTACACGTTCGTAAGATTCATTGTATATCAAAAGGCAGGAATTCATCTCGTTTTTTTCAGAATACCTACATTTAGGCCTAAAATGCCTTTGGGTGCCAAAACATGGGTCGGTCGGTCGGATTTTTTTTTTTTTTTTAACTTTTTTTTGTCGCCCTCTTTGGGCCGATATTTTTCAGATTTTAATGTTTTTTTGTTTCTTTTTTTTTTTCCCGCCCTCTTTTGGCTGATATTTCTCAGTTTTTAATGCTTTGATCCATTGATGTCCATTGATATCTTTTCCCCTCATAATCATCCATTGTGTGCACAAGTGAGAATTTTGGAACAATTTGATTTTATGCATTTATATCCCATCTAAAAAAAAAAAAATACATATTTTTGTATTCATTAATTAAAAAAAAAAAAAAAAAAAAAAAAAAAACGGTTTAAAAAAAAAGCTTTTTTAAAATGCCGGCCGTAGATTTTCAGATTTTTGGGTCGGTCGCAAAGGGCAATACAACAAGTTTTTATTTTAGGCCTTATTCTTGGGGTTAGATTTCCTTTAAGGATACTATGTCCCTTTTGCAGCCAACATCATATTCTGTAGAACTTTGCAGGAATTATGAATATGTCATGATGTCCTATCTGTGAAATTTTAACGTTAGCAGTGTCCTAATATTTAAATTATGCAGGGAAACCCGTTTACTTGATAGACTTCACTGTCAGACACTATTGAGTCACTACTGGCCTTTTTTCTTCTTTGGTAATAACATACATACAATGAGCTGTAAAGGATTTGTCTACATCAATAACCCACTTTTTGTAATGGCCAAAATTAAACTGACTGAATCTTTGCGCAGCATAAAACGTACGACCATTCGGTACAATGGTCTGAAAATCAGACTATTACTTACTGGCTCTATAGCTCTAGAGTCGATTCGACAACCAATAGTCGTTATTTTCCCACTTAAAGACATTTTCAAACTCCTTTTTTTTTAGGGAAGTTCTAAATTAGTATTATCTTTCAAATGTCGTTGGAATTTAACCTTTTCATTTTTATTTCTTTGGCCTACAAATGGGACAAATTTTACTATCAAAAAAGGGTCAACCTTAAAGATAAAGACCAGTTCTGGTCATGCGATTGCATTGTGAAAAAAACATTGTGGAATCGATCAGAAAAGGTTGATCATCTAGCATATAAGTATTGGTGTGTACTGCAAGGTTCTGGAATCGTCAAAATGATAAGAAATTTGGCCCAGTCTTCGTAAAGTTACAAGCACTGTACACGGAAATTTGAAAATTTGACATTTTTCTTCGTGGGGGGGGGGGGGGGATAAGGTCACCTTTTTTAGGTCAGCAATTGGCATAATTTTTTTTTTTTTAATAATAAAAAAAAACCAACAACCAAACCAAACCAAGGGGGGGGGGGGGGGTTCTCCAAAATACACACATAAAAATACCAAAGGAGGAGTTCACCCCCCCCCCCCCCTGCGTACGCGCCTGCATGGTAACATAGTATAAATATACTGGGCTAATAATATTCATGTATTACAATGTAATTGAAAGTTGTTTTTGACGTGCAATAGAATCATGTGTGGATTATTCTTTATGCCTCATTGTAAAGTGCGCACTTTTCAAACAAGGCTATTGAAATTGTTTTAGTCTGATTATCAAAAGCCTTTGCTATAATTCTGTTATGCATTTTTTTTATTTAGTCGTGATATAGAATAGATATGTTTGATATCTCACTTTTCGTCCCTAGCACCTATCCCCTCCCATTTGAAATTCAGACAAGAGAGAGAAATAGAGAGAGAGAGAGAGAGAGAGAGAGAATGAAAAAAGGGGTCCAAGGTTAGTTTCCCCCGTTATAGTGACTCGGTAACATTGTTGAAGGATGATGAAAAAATTGCGTAATTTTTGTGTGAAATGTTTCTTATTTTATTCCTTCTACTGTATTATCCCTCTTACATGCAACAAATCCTGAAAAAATTATTTAGGGTTTCCTTTGAAGGTGTCACTGTGCGACACCCTCTTACAGTTATTCTCCCAACCATTTTTGAATTCACCTGAAATGTAATTAAATTGTAATAATATCTCGTTGGGACTTGGGAGAATTAAGGATTCGATCAGATCAGTTTTTCCCAATTTTTATCGTTAATAATAGTCTGTTTTCACACGAATTTTCAGATTATCTTTAATTGTACATCCATGCAGCATTGAAGTCCGATACCTTAGCACCATTTCTCTCAGTCTTATCTGAACAATATGTTACCAAGTCCCTTTAATAAGCGAGTGTAAGACACGTTGCCGGTAGAGAGTGTTACTGGCACGTACCTTATAGAATTTGCCAATTAATAGTAATGTACTATCTCCTCGGCCCCGATCTCGTCATGTAACATGAATAGCAATGAATATTTCATCTGTCTTTGGAGACACCCTAGTCTCCGCTCACGACACATTTAATCTGGCAGATATTTTGTTCCTATAATGATTTCGCGCCATGCATTCCAATAGCGCGCGAAAAGTAGAACAGCGTTACTGCTATGAGGTGGTGGATGTGAATTTTGTTTATTCTTAAAGTTAACGAAGTTATTAAAAATCGGACGCAGTGTATGAAGCTGTGAATGTTGTATGTTTAATAATAGGTCAAGTGGCATTAAGCGTGGTTCCCGACACAAAATAGTGTGTGTTTGGTGGGGGAGGGGAGGGGGGGGGGGTCGTCTTACTTAGTGGATGATGATAGAGAACAAAGCCTCAAGGAAGAGTTTGAGATGGGGACTTTTTTTCTTCTTTTTTTCAAGTTGTTTCCCCCTTTGTTCCTTTCTGTTTTATTTCTCAGCCCCTCCCTCCCCTTTTGCTTTTCTATTGTCGGGGGGGGGGGGGGTATGCCCCAGTACCCTTGCCCCGTGTTCTGATCGTAGCTATAGTTTATATGCCACTGTTGAGGGCTGCGATGCTACGCTAAACAATATTGTTGCATAATATACGCCATTATGAATTGTCAGAGCGCGCATCATCAGCCACCTGTGAAGTTCAGATAATCTATTCTCATCTCATCCCTTGGTTTTAGTGCATCTTTAGTGCATCTTAAGGCTGGGGCGCGCGCCTCCGAATTTCTGTAATAAGCAATTGCTACTGTAGTTCCTGGAGATTAAGTAGCATATTTCACGGCCCATCGTCAAGGCTTGAACTTACGGTGGCGGAAATAATTGCATCTATCTTCCTCATGCAGGCGACAATAATGTGTTTCTGCTTTCGCGCTTCGCTTTGCCTTATACGTGGCGGATTCTTGACGCTTTAAACACCTATTGAGCAACATTGGTAACAACTTGTATCCGATATTGTGCTGTATCACTTTCGAGGAATACCCCGGTTGATTGTGGGATTCAATTAACTTTTTGGATGGTCATCTTCGAATACTGATACAGAAAGAGAAGCGAGTGATATTGAAATATTAGTCAACTGTGGAATCACACTCGGTAAGTATTGTTCTATATAACAAACTATAATTTCTTTTATATTTTGTATATAAATTATATACATATTTTGAGCTTTCTCATGAAATGTGTTCCTACTTATTGTAACAGCATGTGCCTATACTGGTCTTTTCCACATTTTAACAATTTTGTTGCTATTCCATCTATCTTTTTATGGTATTTGCTAGAAAAATAAACTATTTTTTAATGAAAAGAAGATGAAAAACGCATTTTTAGGCTATGGATTACAAGAATAGATGAAAATTATATTTTTGAGTTGAAATAGTCAAAAAACATATTTTCTGTCGTGCAGTTTTTTCTCTAACAATTTTTCGACTAGTTGATTTTTACTAGGGTGATGTCATTACATTTGTGTACATTTCTTCTTTATGTAGTTTTCTTATTTGACCATTTTAATACAATTATTTATATTTGGAAAGCTTTAATAATCATTTATGCTTGTCTTTTATAAAGCCAAAATTGATACTAATCTAAAACATTTCACGTATTATGAACGTTCTTATTTGCTTTACATTTGCAATAAAATATTTGCTTCCCAGTTTGCAGGACGATGGCTGCCATGGCTGTGTCTCTGTACATCTTGGTCGCTCATGTATGTTTTCATCTGAATCTCGCAGCAGCTAGGTTCATGTGTAAGTAAATTCTTCTTCCTTTTGTTATTTAGAGCATCTATAATAAAAAAAAAAATGATCCAAAATATTTCAAAAGAAGAATTTATGCAATATTAACCTGACTTGTTTGTGCAAAATTCTGTTAGATTGGACAGCATTCTGTGTATGCATATTGACGACAAAGTTTTATACAATTCCTTGAAGAAATCTGGAGAAAAAATTCTCAAGCAAAATTATTGAGCATCATCATTATGGTAGCAATTTTATCAATATATCCCACTAAGTATATCGTACAAAATTGTGGTTAATGATAGGCTTTTTTTTTCGTTTCTGAAATATTCTTTGCATAACGTTAACGACAATTTGAAGACATGATATTGTTATTGTTGATGATACAATCTATCACTTAATCAATCATAATCATATCCCTCGGATAGGACGTTAAATGGAGGCCCCGTGTAGAGAAGAGTCACTACCTTTGCACGTTAAGAACCCACTGCACTATTTGTATAAGAGTAGGGGGGAACCCCGGTGTAGTGGTCCACCTGCACCCCCCAGTACAAGTTAGCGTCATGCGGAATACCACCCTGCTGACTCCAAATTCAGAAGGTTCAGAAGGTAAGAAAGGGACATGAATGCTAGGTTGAGATAAATCCCATGTTTAGTTTCGGTTTTGTGGTGCGTTGATGCAAAGCCTTGGCCTTATATGACGTCTTGAAGTTGAGGCCCGTTGTTCATATGCCTTAGCCTTATTCTATTGGGTATAGATCTTGAACACTGGTGTTACCCATCTGCCTTCTTTTTTGAAATTTCAGGTGCAGAGCCTAAACACCAAGTCTTAAGTGTAGCCGAAGGAACTCCAATCACTTTACCGTGTATCTATAAAAACATCAGCACCAGCTCCAACGTCTATTGGTATGGTAAGTTGATTTGTAATTGAGTCTGCATAACTAAGTTTTCCACAGTACAATCCTATATATATATATATATATATATATATATATATAAATACTAAAATCATTTGAAATAAAAATCCCCGAGAATGCACTTCTTTAGTATAGTGAAGAAGTGAACTCTGAAGGATTTTTTTTCCTCAATTGTTTTTATTATTATTTGTATATTATCGTGACGGATGATTATCCAGATAGAATTATTTGTTCTATACAGTTCACAACTAAATCATTCATATCCTTTGTAAATTTGATGTTTTTTGTTTTTGTTGTTTTTCGTAAATCAAGAAAGGTGGACTGGTTGAATTGGGGCCTTTGTTTAATACTTTTAGATTCAAACTTTAATATGTCATATTATCAGAAACATAAATCTGGACATACTATTAATTGTTAACATACTTAACAGATTGCAAATCCTTGTTAAGGGTATGACAAATTTAGTTATTAGGATGCACAACTATTACAACTTCATGATTGTGGAGGTGTCGTTAAATAGTGCTTCATCCACTTGACTCTCAATCCCAGGGTTAAAGGTTCGAATCCCCTCCCGGCACTAAGGTCCTTTGGCCAGGCATTAATCCATTGATACTGCTTTTGCTTTTTGCTAGGTATTAACGAAAAGAAAATTCGTCTATGCTGACAAAAAATGAACATATTCACGCATATAATATAGAATTGAGAACGAAGTTAGAAAATTTAATTGACATCAGCTATTTTTATCTTTATGTTTTCTTTTGTCTTTTGTGTGTGTGTGTGTGTGTGTGTGTGTGTGTGTGCATAAAAGAAAGTGCTGCTAAGATTTTCATTTAGATGATACATCATACATCAAACTGCAGTTTTCATTTTACCTCATTTGTTCTTTCTCCATCTCACCCTTTTTCAATCTCTCTCTCTCTCTATATCTCTCTCTCTAGCCGGCGTTACTACCTTATATGCAAACGAGGAGCCTATAACCATATCGGAAAAATATTCGCTCGATTACCAGAAAGTTAGCCCTGCTTTAACAAAAAGCTCGAACCTAACGATTCTCTCCGCGCACAGAAATGATCCACTAAATTACACGTGTCAAGCCAGAGTGGGGAGTTGCAGAAAACAGGAGATTTTTACTGTCATCGTTAAATGTGAGTATACTAATCCAGGGGCGTCATTCAGTCTTCATGACAGGGCTAGGAAGAAGAGGGGGAAGGGGAAGGGGAAGGAAGGGGAGGGGAGATAGGGGGTTGAGGAGAAGGGAGGAGAAGGGGAGGGGCGGGAGGGCGGGGAGGGACGGTGGGGGAGGCGTAAGTGGTGGAGACTTGAGGGATGTTTCACCCCTGTTTTCTGACTAGTAGGTCTGATAATACACATGTATACAGAGATATAAATGTTCTTAATAGTTCAATTTATTTCTCCACAAATGCAAAACATAGGGAGCTACATAAAATGAAATACATACATACAATACAATAATAGAACATGTACAATATATATAGAATGACTCCAGTTGGAGCAATGTATGATTTAAACAGAAACAAATCAGCAAATGTGGAAGAGGAAGTCAAAAATCAAAAATGATTTGTCAAGGACTAACCTCGACTACAAATGAAAATTACAATTAAAATTATACAATTGAAATAATATTTACACTCTTTGTCGTGGCTGTGCAATGACAACTTACTCAAACAACACACAGCACAAAAAGAAGTGAGAAGAAATAGTAAACAAAAAGGGCATTTCTAGATAAGCGATGAGAGATAATTATGAATCATGGCTGATGATATTGTGACAACAGTGCATACATGACCCCAATACTAAAGCAATTCCCTAGGTGCATTCACCAGAATTCTTGGTAGAAATTAATTCTGCCAGCTATGTCGAAAATGGCCACATCTTTTGAGACTTCGAAGAACATTTCCGACAACAGAAGAACCATTATTGCCTTAAAAACGAGTAGAAAAATAATGTCCTCTAAAATTACACCTTGTTTCGTATTGAGTACGAAATGTATAAAGACTGAAAGAATACCACATTTCCGCGGAATTTACTTTGATGTTATACGAGTGGCAGGTTTGTTTTTCATATGCGTGACCGTTTCCATGAAATGTATTGCTCTTTAAAACTACAATAACTACACAAACAACAAAAATGCGCTTTTTCAAATCTGCAAAGATCTCCGAAAATCACCCCTTTGCCGCGAAATTTCTACACTACGTTAATATGAAGTGGCATCACCGGGGAAAAAATAGGAAACACACGACACATCCTAAATACGGAACGAGAGATAAAGCATGGATGATGATATTGTAACAACAATGTACATGACCTAAACACTAGGGCAATTCCCAAGGCGCACCCATCAGAACTGATGGTAGAAATTAATTCTGCCAGCTATGAATAATAAAATTCAATTATCTTTCCCGCTAACCGGTGAATAGTTGTCCCTCCATTAATACCCAATTAGAAGAAGGTGGCGCGGCGAATATATTTTGCTTCCAATCGAGCCATTGCCTGACTTTAATATGGTTCAAAACATTCACATGATAGTCATGCAATTTCCAATTATTAATTTTCAAATATACTAAAATTCGCACGGAAGCTGGGGCTTATCCCGCCTATCTATTTTTTTTTCTTTTGCTATTTCCGCCCATGCATACACTCAAATGATAAGCCATATTTTAATATGCAGTTATTCTTTTCGACAACTAATTTATCAAGCTTTCCATTGGTAAAATACTCTTTTTCCTGAAATAATTTATATTATGCTCTCATAATTAAAGAGAAGGTTGAGTACTGGTAAAAAAAAGAAAATTATTTCTCACAGAATCAAACGAAACTTACACTGAATGTTCAAGATTACAAATAAATGACATGTGCCAAACAATTTTGGAAGAAAATGTATACTGGCTGAGTAATGAGCATAGAAAGACAAGGAATCAAGGTAGTACCAACCCCGACACCATGCGTGTTGTCCCATACATAGCTTTCTGTGTATGTGCTTGTTACTTTACCAAGACTCGGTCAAATTTATTATGATTTTGATGACTCCAGAACCTTGCAGTGCGCACCAATACTTACATGCTACATGATCAACTGTTTCTGATCCTTTCCACACCTTTTCTTTCACAATGCAATCGCATTACCAGTACTAAAGTTTATCTTTAATTTTTAGAATCCGGTTTCGTATGTATTATCTCATTCTTCAAAGGATGTATATTATGCTCATTAATATGGTTATAACTTTGGTAATAAATTGGGCTTCATTCTGTCACACGATGGGGGTTTTCTTATAAAGAAAAAAATGACATGATTTTGTATGATTTATTATACCGGATAATGATAGTTTAGATTAAAAGAGATGGGTGTTTCTTGCTTGTGTCCTTTGCTGACCCATTTCGGAATCCTGATTAAAAATTCAGTAACCACATGAGAATACACGAGGAAGTACCACAATGAAACGAATAATGAGATGGTTAATATTTCATTATTTAAACTTGACCCGATTGAACCTGATGAGAAAAAAAGCTTTCCATCAGGGGGTGTTTCACAAAACATGTCATCAGTGACAAATGACAATTTGTGTTATAAGCTACTGAAATCCTTGCTTCTGATTGGTTATCAGCAGATTTGTCACTGTTTTGTTGTTATTTGTCATTGAAAAAAAGCTTTGTGAAACGCCCCCAGATCTCATCTGAATTATTGAGTCCAATGTTATTGGTCATTTGCTGTACAAATTTAACCAATTTTTGTTTTTTTTAGTTCTGAATATAATTATGAATATAAAATGTGTTATTTCCGTAAATGTTCTGGTCTGATCTAAGCTTTAGTTTAGCTGTTAATGAAGAGAGGTGTCGTAGTCGAGTGGTTTAAGCGCTTGACTGGAAATGCTAATGCCGTGGGTTCGATCCCCAGCAAGGCAGTAATGTTCTTTGGCAAGGCATTAATCTATAGTTCCACTCTTCACCCAAGAAAGAAATGGAGACCAGGGGGGTGTTTCACAAAGATCCTAAGTTGAACTTATCTCTAAGTTGGACCTAAATATTATGGAAAGCCATTTGTAGCCTTATAATGAAATACATTCCAAAGCAAAATTCTAGTATTTTAGACTTTTCATAAATTCCACATCAAGAACATGAAATCTCCCAAGATAATTAAAAAAAAAATGATTTGAATCTACATTTTATGGCTTTTAAAATAATTTAAAAAAAATATTTTCAATGATGCTAACGGCTTTTCATAACTATTAAGTCCAACTTAGAGATAAGTTCAACTTAGGATCTTTGTGAAACACCCCCCTGGAGGGATGATGAAAGCCTTAGTGATATAAAATTACATATGCCCTCACGGTGACCATAGGCCTAATGGTTAGAATACTCCCAGTGAGAGGAAATTGTGCACACTGTTTGCGTGACTGAATCCGATAACCGGGGTCATAATAGTATCTGTAAAGCGCTTGGAGACAATATTCCGCATTAAGCGCTTCAAAGCCAGATTTATTATTATATTATTATGGTAATAATATCATGTAATGATCATTATACACTGTACTAAAATTCGAGATGTTAAACGCACTTGAAAATAGCTTAGACTTTTCCAACTTTTCCTAATTCCTTATGCACATTTAAACTATTTTGTATCACCAAAATAATATATTGGCATTTATCTCACTATCCTAATCTCCATAATGATGTTTCATTTTAAGTTAGATTAGTTTTTACCATCATATAAAAATCTCTAGTTATAGTGAATGTCAAGAGATAATTTAATATAGATACAAACAATTTTATGTTACAAGCATTTTATGATTTTGGGTCACGTTTTAGACCTGCTGCACGAAATATAGTTTTATTTTGTTAATGCTTTACTTTATCAATACTCGAGGGAAAGACGATGCTCATTGATATTCAGAAAGTGTGACGTTTTCATGTACTGTATATCGAATGATCTTTGGATATCGTGCTCAAAATGTAAAGAGAATTACTGTCAAGATAAATAGAATATGTTATTGATTCTTTACCGTGTCAACCACAACTCAAACAATCACTTAACCACTTTGGCTCCTCCCTAATTAATTGTTGACACATCCCCTTTCCTTTTATTCCTTTACCGCTTGTCCATGTCGCTGCTGTTTTTTGTCTCTTGTATTTTGTTGTTGAGAAAACATAGATGTAAATATTTGTTTTCATTTTTGCAATGCATACAAAAACATGGGATGAGTGATTGTGATATTTCAAATGGCGATTACATTTGCATACACTCCAAAACCTTTAATTGGGCTGTTGATTAAGAATATTTTCAAAATGTTAGATCAACATTTTTACATGCTGAATTCAACTTTGTACTGTTTGACCAAGTATTTTAAAGCTACCGTGTTGATTTAATGTCACTCCTCGATCCTTTTAAATGTTGATTGAACGTTTTTTTTTTTTTTTTTTTTTTTTTGGGGGGGGGGGTGTAAATATATCTATCGAATAGTTGGTATATCACTTTATTGATACTTCAGAAACAGAAAGAGAGAAATTTAGACAAAGACATACAAAGAATATAATAAGAAAAGCCAAGGACTATTCATGGTATGAATAGTACTTATGTATAGTAGGCTGGTAGGCAATAATATACAAATATTGACTGCTCATGAGGATGATGGTGGGAATTATCACGCCCAAGGTGGTGTTCATACCGGCCCTATCACCCCCGAGGCGAAGCAAAAGTCGCGGAGGGGTTAGGAGTTCTATCACAGGGTTTGATAGTAGCTATCAAACCCTCTGACGCAATGATAGATCGAAATGCTCCTTGTCATGTGATATAGTTTCGACCAATAAGTGAATGACAATCTATGTATGAGGTATATAAAACAAAATTTAAATCATTTAAAATAATGATTGTAGAAATTAACTTGATTGTCCCTATATCTTTTCATTCGAAGACCCCGCCAGTATCCATTTCATCGGACCAAGAAAGGTGCCATATTGGACCCCTGCGGAGCCGGGGAAGATATCCGTGAACGAGACTGAAAACATCACACTAAGCTGCAACTCTGGAGGTGAACCAGCGCCATTCATAAACTGGACCAGAATAAATCGAGATGGAGAAGTCATGAAAAATGTTTCACTTGCAGGTAAGCAGAGGCACATTTTTTCCATATTATTTTATATCTCTGAAATGAATGTGACTTCTTCATATTTATTTCTTTTTTAATTGTCAACATTTTACTGAAGTAAATGACTTTTCTTTAAACAGCTTGGTTGCTAAAACTCTGGAGTTATCATTAATCATGCTCTTCTTTCTCAAATGAGTTTTTTTCTCGTTCTTTTTATTCTTTTATATAGTTATACTTCAGTTGTATATTCTTTATTTAAAAAACAGAAAATGATTTATCAATCTGTTAACGATTTTAGAGCAAACTTTGTCGTTTCATATCCCACCGCTGTCACTACTATGTGGATTTTCTTTTGAGCGTTTTAAAGATTATGTTGATTTCTGGTAACGATCTAAAATCATTTCTAACCTGATTTTCTAGGATTTTGAGGGAAAGTATAGATAACTTTCCATCTGCCTTGAGCACTGTGTTACGAATCAACATATTAATGAATATTCATAGTATGGTAAAGAGTGATGTACGCGCGCAGTTCTTTACTGTTTTTTAAGAGTTCGTTCGTTGGTGTGAGGTCAAAGGTGAGAGTGGCACGAAGAACGCTCTGTCCGTAATATTTGAATTATTTATTTATTTATTCATTTATTCATGGTTCAATACAAAATGGATAAGTAGCCAATTGCTGAATAGTTCAAAATTTACAAACAAATTTAAAGATACAAAGAATGCAATATTGCAGAGGGTAAAATGATACAAACGACACGATCAATAAATGATAACGATTCATGGTTGAATTTTTGTTTAAACTGACATAAATCATAAAAACATAATTTTCATGAAGGAATTAAATTGCATTTAGATCAGTCGTATATGGAAATGACAATTATTGTTAATTTTGTTAATATACATATTGAAGGTTACGAAGTTTCAACAATTTCCGCGTTTCTCAATTCTTATTCAGATGAGACAGTGCTTGGTGATTTAAGGTTAACTAACGTATCAAGAAAACAGAGTGGGATATATAGGTGCAAGTCGATAAACCAGTTTGGAAACGACGCCGCAGATGTAGAACTGGTCGTACAATGTATGTACAAAATATCTATTTCACCATTTTGCCCGTAAAGTTGGAATAAACTTATTTATTCTTTTATTGAAAAGATATTGACAGTATGATTTATTCTTAATAGATAATATTATATCTTCCCATAAAGTTATAACATTGCAGATCAATCTCTATGACTCTTTCGAGTGATTCATAGAGTTCCGAGAAGAGAGATTATATTAACTTTCCCAATCAAGAATAGAATAAATCATATTGTCACAATCATTTGACGAAAAGATGTAATAGAATTTTATTCCAATGTTTTGGGCAACAGTGTATATTGATGTTTTCATGTTTTGGTTATTTGTTTGTTGTGGAAGTGGTTCGGAGATAGACTTAACACGAATTTACTTGCTTTTAATGTGTCCTCCTGATTTTAATAAATGTGTTTTATTGGTAGACCTTTGTTGTAGGGCTATACGGCTACAAGTCGCAAATTGTATATATGATGTTGCAACGAAAACAAACATACTAAAGTCTTTCGTCTTGCACTCATCGGAGTAAATCGCAAGAATGAACAGATCAGATAATATAACAAGCTAAAGGAACAAAGTGCGCGTAAAAATACGGGGCTGTGAAAGTCATGTCCATATATTATTATTACTTTCTGGAGTTCCGTAGTTCTTTATTCTTATACTATAACTTATTTTCTGCTGTGTACAGTGTGAGCCAAAAAAAAGTTTACACCTAGAAAATTGCTAATTATTTTAAAAGTCATCTATGAACAGTAAATTATTATACATCTTATGCATGGGTGTTTTATCCCAAATCATTTGGTAACACTTTTGTGTGTTATGTATTCACGCTTGAATGAACAGGAGGTATTGTTTGTGAGCGTGCAAAAATCGACTTGCGCCAAAGTTGCTTATGTGATGTTTGAATAAAACAATTGGGATTTGGGTATTAATTTGGTCTTTGCAGATCCAAATAACATCCCTAAAAAAAATAATCATGCCTCACATATCAAATAACCGAATATCAAATATCAACAAACATTTGCGTGTGTGTGGGTGTGTGTGACTTTGCCCTTTGCAAAAAGCATTGTAATGCATTTCATTTGATACATTCAATTCATTCTCTCACTCAGCTAATCCCAACATAATACATACTGTAGGCATCACTTTGGCGCAAGTCGATTTTTGCACTCTCGCAAACAATGCCTCCTATTCATCCAAGCGTGAACACATACCACACAAAAATGATACCAAATGATTTGGGATAAAACACTCTTTCATAAGATGTATAATAATTTACTGTTCATAGATGATTTAAAGAATAATTAGCAATTTTCTAGGTGTAAACTTTTTTTTGACCCACACGGTATTTGTATTGTAATACTTATGGTACTGTATAGAGATCTCTCCCATGCTCTTCAGTTTGAATAAAGCTCAACCAACTAAGTTCTTATGGAAATTCATTTTCCTTCGTTTCCAGCCTCATCAAAGTTCATGTCACGTACAGTATGTAAACAAAAACGAAACGAAATGACGGCATGCTACTACATAAGTAGTCAATTACACGAAGTATGATCCAAATCCCAATTACGATTTTTTTTTTTTCCAATTAAAAAAAAGAAAGAATTACTTAAGTATTATCGTAGACTTGCATGTAAATAATTCTTTTTCACGGCCAGATGCCCCGGAAGTGCACCCCACTCAAACAGACATCCGTGCTGCTCCTAAAGATGCAGTAGCGATTGGTTGTGATGTCACAGGGATTCCCGAACCTCTGGATTTTTATTGGCTGAAGGATGACGTCAGAATTTTAGATGACGACGGAGATGACACAGAATCTATTCCTAACGCGTAAGTTTAGAAATACGTTGAGATTCAATGATTGATCCGGGGGGGGGGCACCAATCGAATCGTCTTTAAGTGTGCCCCTGATGAAATTTACTTTTGGAATGTATCATTTTTTCCCTAGTTTGGCAGTATTCAAACTAGAACATTTAAGGCACAATAATATTTAATTCATGCTGATCTATTATCCATTTTCGCTATACTTTGATGTAAACATTGACTCACTTTTGTAATGTTAATATTTCCATGTGGTTATGTGCATCTATTGTTCAATATTTTATTCACTGTTTAAATACTAATGATTTTATATTTTAATGCGTGGGGAAAATGAAAATGAAAATTGTGATATACGCTTATCATATGGCCGGTGTGTCGTTTGATATATTATATGATAACTTTTCTGCACAGACCAATCGTACAACCTGTAGATTGAACATCTGTAAAACATATTTTGATTGTGGTTATATAATGTAGTTGTATATAGTTTCTTGTTATTTCTTTCTAATTATCATTATTAGGATCTCCCTCTCATGTTTCTCCACGTTTATCAGGCAAGTGTCATTTCATTATATTTATTTTTTCTTTCTACAATTTACATTAATTTCATAAAATACAAAGATATAATATGTGATACAACTTTGCCTGGGAAATCGCATTAAAAAGCCAGTGGCTTGCAATAAAACACAGCGATTCCCCTTACAATCACAACAATTAATACAGAGTACAAAGAAAACGAAACGAAAAAAATTATCACATAATATACTATACAGATATAATAAAATGGACAATACATGCTGAAACTATGCATAAACGCTATGTGGCTAGTAGTAATAGCAGTGAGTATGGGGACGGCCATAGGTTGTGTACACAAATATATGGACATAAAGTCGAGATTAATGAAAGTATGGACATTCTGATTTTTTGGCGTGGGAGTCACAAGTGACTTATTACCACAAGTGTTAAAAGTCATTTTTTCTCGAAAAAATTGTAAGTCTAGATGATAATGAAAAGTCTCTAAGTCATATTCATAAAGTCTTACTACCATAGACACACGTGTTATAATTCAGTTTTTTTCGAAAAAATGTACAAGTCCAAAATGACAAATCCCAAATTAAATTCGAAAAGTCAAGACCTCAAAAAAAAAAACCATAGACACGCGTGTTATAAGTCCGTTTTTCTCGTAAATAGACTATGTCAAAGTTAATGTACACGAGTCAATTAGAAATAGTATAAGTACGAAAATATTTGTGTGCAAAACCTATGGCCGTCCCCATACTGCTATAACTACTACTGTGGCTAAACTGGTCTACTGAACGCCACCAACGACTCTTCCGTACAAGAAAGTATTTATCATAACACAAAGAGAGAAATGATAGAAATATGGAAACACAACCTAAAACAGGTTAAAGACCCATCTGGCCGGTGATCCATGGCAAACTGCCGACCGACAATTTTGCCCCAAAGGAATATCTTATAAGTGCCGTAAGAAATTAGAAGGGGAGCTAGCTTGCCCAATATTACCGTTCTAAATTCCAGTCATGTGGAGTTACCATTGGATAGGATAATTCATCCTCACTTACATTTTCTCATTATAGAAATGAATTATACATATTTCATAAGGGAAACTAATTAGAATTCTCCTCCGATAAACGTTTACATGATTGTAAGAAATAATTATAAATTCGATGATAATTGTTGTGGTCTCAAATTATGTATTCATCTATTTATTCGCTAATTATGGTCTATTTTGAGAACAAGTTTTGTAATAATTATGCATCTACAATAACATTATCAGTGTATTTTTCTGTTATTTTACTCTTCGTATAAAAGTCCATGGAGTGAAAAAAAGTGAAAAACTGAATCTTCGTTATATTTGTATAGATATGAACAGTGGTTACACATATTACCTTTCATTTAACTTATCTCTCGGTATAGATTCGTGATCTTTAAACTAGACGCACAGAAGGACTATGGTAATTACACGTGCGTGGCTACAAACTCGCTTGGAACATCTACTGCTACAATAGAAATTAGTGGTGAGGGGATTTATTTTCTAAATTATCTTTTATGTAACAAGACGAAGGGTGGTAAGATGGACTCTTGCTATGCCACTGTTTGGGGATATTATCAGGCAATCTTTTCTTTCTTCTGAACGTTAATTGTATATTAATTATTATTCCTTTTAAAATTGTTATTATTATATTGTTGTTGTTTTAATTGTTCTTGGTTCTTGGTTGGTTGGTCCTACAAAATACTCGTCTGAGTTTTAACTGGAGGTGCGGGTAGTGTGTATTTATTTGTAGATGGGGGGGGGGGGGGGGGACGATAGGGCAATTTTGAATTTGACAGGGTCAGTGTGGGCGATAGTCTCCGGTTTAAGCTGGTTCCAATTGTTATTATTATCATTATTGTTATCATCATCTCTATTATTTTAGGACGCCCTCTAGCACCCGTGATCTTGAATAAGGAGACGTTGGGTCGCTATGGACGCTTTTACACCCTGATTTGGTCACCAACTTCAGTCCCAGGAGATAATAGCACTCAACTCATCAATATCCCTATATCACGGTACATCATCCAATACCAAAGGCAAGACGTTATAGAGGTAAGTTGAAATGAGAGACAGAAACGGACCGAAGGGGTGGGGTGGCGGGGGGGGGGGGGGGGGGTACGTAAGGCACGTTAGACTTTTTACTGGCGGCATATACAAAGACAACTATACATTATATACCTGATTTGATTACATGAACAAAAAATCAAGCGATTTTGAATCATGTTATAAAATTGCAGACTTGTTGCTTTTATCAATGTAGTAAGATTCACCCCCCCCCCCTTCCAAAGAATTCAAGATGTGCATCTATCAGTTTCAGTTTATTTTATTTTTGCACGGCACCAACTTCAGCCAAAGGCTGTTCTTCTGTTGGTCCGTGCGCTACCTATCTATTTTGCTAAAGACAATTTTATAAGAAAATAAATGAATGAATGATTTAATGTAGAGTATTAGTAATTAAAGAATAAAAACGTAAAGAAATTAAATAAAAATGAAGAAATGGTAAAACCCGAAAATTTAACGTACAAAATAACATGCAATTAATTTAGAAGCGCTAGAACTCGAATATAGGTCCCCATATTTGTTCAGTTAGCCTATAGTAACTACTACTGTCCATTATTGCCCCCCCCCCCAACCTGGAACTCCTTACCCCCTGTACTTAAGAATTGGCAGTTTTCAAGAAATGTCTGAAAACTTATCTTTTCTAATTTGTTGTAATATTCCTCTCTGTTTGTAATTAATATACGCTTTATATGATAGTGTTATCTATTTTTGTTGTTTGTTAGTATTTCTTGTTTATGCATTTTGTTTTCAAATGAAAAGGCACTTTATAAATGTAATATTATTAACGATGGTCCAACCCATCCGTCCAACTTAAGCCACCAAGGGGCAGATAGTTCAAACACCAATAAATATTTAACAACATAGTAAGTATAAAAATTACGCCGAAAATCACTTCTTTTTCAACGATGAAAGTGGTATGCTTGAGATTTCAATGTCTTTATTTAGGGGGTGTTTCACAAAGATCATAAGTCAAACTTAGCTCTAAGTTGAACTTAAAAATTATGGAGAGCCATTTGTAGCCATTAAATAGAATATATTCAAAATCAAAATGTATTCTTGACTTTTCATAAATTCCACTTCTGAAGAACATGGAATCTCTTTGATCATAGAAAATATGAATGATTTGAATCAACATTATATACCTTTAAAATAACTTTTAAAAAATATTTTCATAGATGCTTTAACGACTTTCCATAGTTGTTAAGTCGAACTTAGAGATAAGTTCAACTTAGGATCTTTGTGAACCCCCCCCCCCCTCCTGTCTTTTAAAGAACATCAGTATAGTGTCCCTCAGATGGCCAGAGGATGCTTTATCGGCGGCTACCGGCAACTACGGGTCATTCGTCCTCTTTGACTTGATTGAGAATAGCTCCTACGTGGGTGTGCTGTGCCCTGAGAATGACTATGGTTTGGGAGACTGCACATCGTTTACATTCGCAACATCAGTAGGTGAGTTCCTTGGGGCATGGTGGCTCAGTGGTTAGAGCGCCCGCCTCATGAACGGGAAGTCGTGGGTTCAAACCCCGGCCGAGTCATACCAAAGACTTATAACAATGGGACCTTCTACCATAGCTAGGCGCTCTGCATATTAGATTTGAGAAGGGTAGTAATAACAACAGTTATACAGGGCCCGCTGGAAGAGCAGTTTCATAACTGAAGTGGCTACTCTGGGTAAATAAAACGTTATTATTATTTATCTCCAGTCTAACCGCTCACGATGGTGGTGTCATGCGTACTAAATTACCTCTCTAATTTATTGAAAATTATTTACTATATATTTCTTATCTCATTTGTATGTTTCGTACATGTTTATTGTATGATATAATTGTACATGATTTTCTATTCAATTACTTTAATTTGTAAACATTTTATTCAATATATCTGTTATTGTTCGATTTTTTGAATTTTTATCTTTTTTAACACTGAAATAAAATCAAACAAAACAAACAAACTCTCCGAATAGTAGCGTAGCAAGCGTAGGGCCGGGGGACACACCGGTTTTAAACATGTTAAATGTGAATTAAAAAACTTAAGCCCATTTATCCGTTGAGAGGTTATCGGGGGACCCTCCTATAAGTTTGTTGCACTTCATCCTCTTGCCATCTCTCTCTCTCCCTCTCCCCTCTCTCTCTCCTTTTCTTTCTTTTTTTCTTTTTAGGTTTGGATTAAGATCGGGATAAGTGTAGGGTCTAGGGTCCTGTTTTTAACCATGACGAACTAATGTCACCGAGGGGTTTCTGTTACGCATAATCGGGAAGAACTGATAAAAATGTTGATGATTTGAATAACTTTTCTTTCTGTGTCACAGTTGTCTACAAACCTTCACCGGAATCTGAATTTGTTGGAAATGCATGTGCTGGTGAGTATCTCTCTCTCTCTCTCTCCCTCCCTCCCTCCCTCTCTGTCTCTCTGTATCTGTCAATGCTCTATCTCTCTCTCTCTCTCTCTCACGCACATTCCCGTCCCACCCTCTCTTTCCCACACACAATGCAAACGCACGTCACATAAAATACCTGTATCTCTGTCACGTTATATATCTGTCCCACTCGATCTTCCTTTTCTCCCTCTTGCTCCCACATCCCATCTAACCCTCTGCCCTCCCTCTCTACCCCTACCCGTCCTCTCTACCCCTCTTCCCCTCTCTAACTCTACCTCCCTTCAATTATTTATCGCCCTTTCTTTCAATGTTATACTTTCTTCAATATACTTGTTTTTCACCATCGTTTGATGCTCAGGCGCGATTCTAGAAGGTTTTTTTTTCAGGGGTGGGGGCTGGGGCTGGGGGCTTAGGGGTTCTTGCACTCATGTTCTACATTTGCCTCGATAACATTAATTTATAATCAACAAAAAATAGGAGATGGGGTTGAAAATTATTTCTGGGATTAAGACCCCGCCCCTCTAAAACCTATATTGATAATGCATATACATCAATACCGATTAGATCTTATTTGATTTAATCAAATAAAGTATACATATATATATATATATATATATATATATATATATATATATATTTGAAACATGTTTCAGAAATTTTGAGAGGATTACTTATCCTATGAAAGTATCACCCAACTTATTTCCAATGTGTTCTACAACAGTTGAAGTGGTATATTACAAACTTAGCTACAGCACACGTATCTTCTATACCATTCTTTTAATTTAATATGTTTAAACTTTTTTCCTCCACGTCTTCCTTTCCTCCAGGTGAGGATACATGCGTAGGGGAGTGGATTCCATCGGCTGCCGATCGGCATCCATCCGTTTCCATGGTAACAATATCAGTAGGCTCCATAGCATGGTTATTAATGTCGGTATCATAGTCATCAAGAACGATTTATTTCATTAAGTGCTATGTTTTACGACGGACTGCACGATATACAAATTGTGATTCATTTGAAACAATTTTTTTTCTGGGAGAGTCGACATAGATTTTCAATTTTGCCCCTCTTTATTTTTTCATTAAGGAAAGAAAAGGAGACAAAAGTGCAATTTCAGTTTTCTGTCACCCTAAAAGATGCTGAGAGAAGGTTTTTTTTTATAAGGGATGACACATCCTACACCCCTCTCACAAAGCCTTTTATTTATAAATCTATAAATACGAATTTTTCTGGAGTATTAACTTATTCACTATACGTATATAGTGGTGGATATGAATATTATTTTCATCTTATTACTAACTTCTATCATGCCCATTAATTAACTCATTCCGTTAATGACGTTTGTTACCCCCCCCCCCAGAAGTTCTCTTACTTATGCGGTAACCTCTCCATTATCGTTTTACTCTGTAAAGCATGTTGTTTCCCATATGATTTGGTTTTGCCTCTAAAGTCAACTAAAGTCCTATGCAGCTCCTTTCCACATTGTAATTGTTAATTGATAATTGATTAATTGATTCCTATATCGTCTTTTCAAGCATACATATTAATTTGCATCAATGTGACATTTAACTTTAATGTACACGCTTAATACATTAATGCATAAGATAAACATGATAAAGGAGGCATACCGCGTAAGCATATAGAGCTTGATGTGCTTACAGTCCTCAGTTATACTAAAAACATATAAATGTGTATTTAAAAAATGTTGTTTGTTATGGCATATACTGTATTAGGTTGTCATCTATTTCTTCTATTTGTTTATATTGTTCTTACTGTTGATACAGATTTGTAGTTGTTATCTTTTAAATGGAATTTTGGAACAAAAAGTGTAACTTAAAGATAAACTTGAGTTCTGGTAATGCGATTGCATTGTGAAAGAAAAGGTGTGGAATGGAGCAGAAAAGTTGATCATATAGCATGTAAGTAATGGTGTGTAATGCAAGGTTCTGGAGTCATCAAAATCATCATAAATTTGGCAGAGTCTTGGTAAAGTAACAATCACTTACACAGAAAGATGTATATGGGACAACACACATGATGTCGGGGCTAGTACTACCCTGATTTCCTTATCTTTCTATGCTCATTACTCAGCCAGTATACATTTTCTTCCAAAATTGTTTGGCACATGACATTTTTTTGTAATCTTGAACATTCAGTGTAAGTTTCGTTATATTCTGTGAGAATTCATTTTCTTTTTTTTACCAGAACTCAAGTTTATCTTTAAATTGTTTGATATGAAGAACGCTGATCTTGCCTTTGTACATGTAGAATATTGCAATTCGATCACATTTTAACAAACGAACTGCGGGATAGTCTATCCATGGTTGGGGAAAGAGCTTTTAAAATTCATTTCAAAGAGCTTTATGCATTATTATTTATAACGAGTCAGAGTACAATATATATCATGGAAATCGTTTCATTGTTTCATCAAACATACCATATCGAGTAGAGGTTAGCGATTCTGTTGGATAAAATTTTTATATTCTAAGTGTTTAATATATTTTTCACGCCCTGTACATGCCGGACATTAAAATGTGTTTCATAATTTGTCTATATAGGGCGCCACGCATATTGCCATGTTGTAGTCAACCTATTTCGTGGCTGAATTAATTTCTCATTCTCTCAATATTAACATGTAGAACTATATAGACTCCGTCGCACCATGCTCCCTCGCTTTATTCGACACATTTGATCTTCATAGTTCGATGCTCGAGCGATAATGATAATAACAAAATTATATTTAGCTTTTATATAGCGCTTAATATAAATGTCTCTATAACCCCGATCATTGAGATGCAGAAAATCTCTTCAGCCTAGGAACTATGCCATCTACTCTCTTAATTTCTAGGACTTGAATTTTAAATCTTTCCTGAGACTTAAATTAGTTGAAGTCTTTATGATTTATTTAACTGAATATATGATTTAAAAGTTTTAACGAAAATTACTTCTGCGAATAAATCCTTGAGGACTTAAAACATCTAGATGATGCCATGCATGATGCATGCACCCGCATCCAAAAGTGAACCTTACATTGGACTTCCATTCGAGTTCAATTTTAAGAATTTCTGGGGAAAATGTTGAGATTTATGAAAGTCTCAGAATTTGAGAGAGTAGGGGCGTCCTGTTACCAAGCATTTGTATTATATTGTCGAGATCGCATTTTTTTAAAACAAGTTCATTCATTCTTTCACAGACTATAACTAGCCATGCTGACTATATACCGTAAAAGTAAACGCAAAGCCTAATTCATGAATAAAATGAATGCATATTAAATATCTAATACGAGTGTTGTGAGTATTGATTTTTTTTTAATCCTTGATTTTTAATTTTTTTTTTAAGACTCAAAATAGTTAATCATAAAGCTTAAGGTTTTTTTTTCAAAGGAAATCAACTCTTACAGATAAGATGAATACTAATGACACGATTACATTGTGAAATGAATTGCCTGGAAGCAATAGACCAGTTTACTAACAAAAGTTGCTCTTGACAACCTGAAGGCTTGCTCGACGCTTGCCAGACATAGCAACAAGTAATGTCTCCGGGAAAGAAACATTCATAAAATGGAGTATGATAGTAAACCGGTCTATTGCTGCCAGGTCTACACTGATTTTTTTTGGAATCATCAAAATGAAAAGAAATTGAGTCAATCTTGCCAAAATCACATTGATTCTCTTTTGATTGACCCCTTTCCGTTTCGACGGCTATGATAACCATGTTGTCGGTGATTTTTATGGTCCATCGATCTCTAAGAATTGTTCACTCTACAGAAATTAATAGACTGAATGTCGCCATCTCTAGTTGTCAGTATAAAGTTTGTTTAGAAGGAAAAAAAGACTTCATCGGAAAGGGGTGATTGAATTTAATTAAATTGACATTTGATCGATTTCATTAACATAGAATAGCCTTGAGTTAAAACAAAGACCCCTTCACCAAGAACACATCTAATATGTGTATAACATACGGAGCGTACAAAAACATGTAGGCCCAGTTGGGTTGAGAACGTGAGAGGGCGCATATACGACCTTTGGTGCAGAGTCACAGAGTCTGGTCAATTTGGTTTTATTTGGCCACTCTCTTGTTTTGTGCTTGCCCAACAAAGCAGCAGCAATCTCCATACCTTGTCCAACTCGAATTAAGTTAGCCAAACTCTCCTAATCAATATCTCTACTTTCGGGGATCAAAAAATTACCCAATTAGAGAATTCGGTAGGTTGTTGTTGTTTTTTGGTGTTATTGGCGTTTCATTCTTTTTGAGAATATTTACTCCTTTCACATTTTCCCCCTTTCTTTTTCGTTTACTATTGTAAATTCGTACTCTTCATACATCTCTAGTTCATTTTTCTTCTTCTTCTTCTTTCCCTTCTTCCTTTTCCCTTTTAATAGCTTAATCTCAGATCCACTGGTCCACGAAAACTCCTCACCGCAGTAAAGTTACGCATTTCTCTTTTTATATTTGTTTCTACAGTTTTAAAACTTAATCCTTATCTTTCCATATTAATATAGTTTTTTTATAAACTATTTCTTCCTACAGCATAGCATTTGATTCAAAAGAAAATTAAGAACTGAAAACATTTCTTTGTATAATATAAAACTTATAATGATTTCGACAAACAGGAACAAAAGTAAATTCACTAGTTACATTTCTTGACTTTTAATTATGAATCATTTGGACTATAAATATATTTCCTCTTTTACTGTCTTCTCTCTCTCTCTCTTTCTCTCTCTCTCTCTCTCTCTCTCTCTCTCTCTTTCTCTCTCTCTCTCTCTCTCTCTCTCTCTTTCTCTCTCTCTCTCTCTGTCTCTCTCTCATGGCTGTCTCCCTGTCCATCCCCCGACCCTCTCTCTTTCTCTTCATCTATTAATAAAAGCACATAGGGACTACAGTTTCGGTGAAATGTAGTTTATCATTATAAATATGATTATTATTAGTAGTATCATTATCATCATCACCATTTTATAATAATTTATTTCTTTATTATTATCATTATCATTCTCCTCATCAACAAAAACACTCTCAAAAGTATCTACCAATAAAATTAATAGGTTCTTTTCATGTTCGAATATATATTTGATAATTTGAATCTACGATATTAAAAGGTGACATGAATTCTAGTCAATTGGGTTCAAAAATATCAAAAAAGTTGTTCTATTAAATAAGAAGAGAATAGGCTGTCAAGGAGAGTGCATAACTTTTTACAAAAAGTTATCCTTCGTCACAGATTATTATTTTACGCTCATAGGCGTATACGGCGGCGGTCTAAGGGGCTGCAGCCCCCGCCCCACCCAAGAACTCTGGATGACCACATGATCAGCAGCACGAAGATGATTCACATATCATTTTATATTATCTACTAGATTGTGATGACTAAATTACATTATTTTCCCCCTTTTTTTTATTATAAAAGTGTACAAATACATGTACATCTCCTCGCTAGCTTCGCTCACTCGCCAAATGTTGATACTAAAAAGTCGACATTTGGTCAAGAGATGTCACTTCCTGGCGCAACTTGTGCCCATACACCTAATTAAGTTCCCCTAGGCCTAAATCTCTTTTGGTATTTTAAAATTAATCATGATGTCATGGTTTCATATCTGCTAAAGCCCGCATATATTTAGGTCAAAAGGATTTTTACATGAATCTACATGTACCTGAATATAAGGGCATACCAGTACTATATTTACCTATTTGAATTAATTATTATATCATATTTCATATTCTGTAAAATCTACTTTAAATTCTGGCTAAGGTGAATACAATTTAAGTTTTTACCCCTCTTGCATAAAACTTGTAAAAAATCGAATCTCTTAAAAATGTTCATAGTTTATGTTCTTCAACATTTCCTAAACAATACATCTATTCTACTATATGTAATTATCGGTGTATAACTTTTAGTGGTGTTTTGTTGGTAAAAATGTTCTTTTATCAAATTTTCATAACGGTGTTTGAGACTAAGGACAGTTTGAGACTAATGAAATGCCGCCATCACTTCAAAATTGACCACCACCATTACCATCATAATTATTATCACAACATCACCACGTCTACATCTAAGGCCCAGCTGTGCTCTATACCACAATCACCACCACGTACCATCACTGCCATCAATACCACCACTGCCGTTAGCCCGTTACCAAAACCACCACCACTACTCCATCACTACTTCCCCTATGCACCACCACTTTTATAACCACAAATATCAACACCAACACCTCCACCACTACGCCTACCCCACCAGCACCACTAATTCCATTAGTTATACCACCCCCACCTCGACATTTACTGTTCATATGCCCCCGCCACCATCAGCGTTATCACCAGCACCACCACCACCTGCACCTCTACCACCTACTCCACCAATACCACTACCATCACCACCACCACCATCACTAGCACCGTCAACACTACCAGCATCTCCTCCTCCAACACCAATTCCACACCCACGATTGGCACCACCGCCATTATCACCATCACCACCACTAGCACCACCATATATCATTACCGTGCAACAACATTACCATTTACCACCACTAATCACAACCACCGTGCACTAGCTACCACCTCTGATATTACCACCATACCACCACCACCACCACCACCACCACCACCCACATCCTCCACCATCGTAACCACCAATACCACTACCACCACCACCACCACCACCACCATGCACCACCACCTCAACCACAATCACCACCACCACCACAACCTCCATTGTCGCCAGTTCGCCACCACCATCACCAGCACCACCACGCACCATCAACATTATCCGCCGTCTCCCTGACCCCTCCAATCACTATTCTCTCGCATAACACAATAACAAAAGTCATAAAAATAAGAGTATTTTGCAACAGATCAAGAAATTTGACCAAAAACGAAGGCCTTGCAATGCATGACGGGATATGTCATTGAGCTCTCTCATCCGTGCAGTGCGATGCTGAGATTACGAGAGGCTGGTATCGGGGTACAGCGGTTCGCCGACGGGCAAAACTTCTCAATAGTTTTTTGTGTACAATTGTGAATGTGTACATACGACGTCCAGTTCAAAACTTCCGTACACAGCGTATTGTATTGTATGCGTGGTCATTTTGTTTCAATGGATTGTCCGAAGTCTACATCAAAACAGCTGAATCTGTAAGGGAAATTATACATTTTTGTGACAGTGAGCAAGAAAAAGAAAGGTGAGTGTACCAGATATTTGTATGATCTTGCGGTGCGAGCTTGAGACATTGATTTTTTAGCTGCTGATTTTCTATATTTTTGCGACGAGAGTGAGACCCTTGCGAGTGGGGAAGATGAGGCAGGCAAGATGCGTAGTGTAGAGCTAAGATCTTGAGCTCAGACCCACTCGTAGGGGAACGAGTTGGATGTCAACTCCATGAAAAAGGATCATATAGAGGATCATATAGAGGATCATTTGGATCTTTTAGAATTTTCGGAGGGCTAATTAAACTTATATTTGAAATGTAAATATTTACCGTCTTTATAATAGAGCTATAGAGGGGGAGGAAGACAAGAGAGAAGATGGTAACTTTAATTTGTGCCACCAAAAAAAAAGCCTGATTGCAAAAAAATGGAGAGAGTTTGAGTGTATGTAATTGTAATGAGACAACATCTGGATTGGTCAAGATTGACAGTAAAGGTACTGGTAGCATTTGTCTTACATGTAGTCCTACTGTAAGTGATATATTACAGAGAGTATTATATGTAAGTTGATTTTCGTGATTTATTTACAAAATATTAAATGTTGATAAAATAATAATTTGTAAATATAATGTAGTTGAATGAGATGCATAATTACATTCAAAAATGGAGCAGAACATTGGGTTGTCAGCATATCATTACCATCATGATCATTATAATCATCATTAATGTCTTTCATCATCATTATCATCTTCGTTATCATTCTTAGCATTTGTATCATTAAAATATTCTTTGCAATATCATCATTAATATCATAGTCATCTTCATCATCAGTATCATCACCATTAGTGTGATTATGGTCAGCACAGTCATCATCATCATCATCATCATCATCTTCATCATCTTCATCATCTTCATCATCGTTATCATCATCATCAATTTATAATTATCATTATCTTGATTATGATTCATGATCACTATCAATATCATCTTCTTCATCATCCCCACTGCCACCACCAACACAACCACCTTCACCATCACCACCACCACCATCACCACCACCTCCACCAACACCACCACCACCACCAACACCACCACCTCCACCAACACCTCCACCTCCACCAACACCACCACCTCCACCAACACCACCACCTCCACCAACACCACCACCTCCACCAACACCACCACCTCCACCAACACCACCACCTCCACCAACACCACCACCTCCACCAACACCACCACCTCCACCAACACCACCACCTCCACCAACACCACCACCTCCACCAACACCACCACCTCCACCAACACCACCACCTCCACCAACACCTCCACCTCCACCAACACCACCACCTCCACCAACACCACCACCTCCACCAACACCACCACCTCCACCAACACCACCACCTCCACCAACACCACCACCTCCACCAACACCACCACCTCCACCAACACCACCACCTCCACCAACACCACCACCTCCACCAACACCACCACCTCCACCAACACCACCACCTCCACCAACACCACCACCTCCACCAACACCACCACCTCCACCAACACCACCACCTCCACCAACACCTCCACCTCCACCAACACCACCACCTCCACCAACACCACCACCTCCACCAACACCACCACCTCCACCAACACCACCACCTCCACCAACACCACCACCTCCACCAACACCACCACCTCCACCAACACCACCACCTCCACCAACACCACCACCTCCACCAACACCTCCACCTCCACCAACACCACCACCTCCACCAACACCTCCACCACCACCACCACCACCACCACCACCACCATCATCACCACCACCACCACAACCACCACCAGCACAACCACCATCATCTTTTACTTCCTACTGTTGTGGCAGGAAACCATCCCCAATGATCCATGTACATGTACATGTATACCACAAACTACATTAATGATCATAAACAAAACAAAATCCAGCATCATAGAGCATCATCTACCTGTACAGGTACATGTAGTTGTTTGAGTCCTTGGTGTCAATAATAAATAGTGATTTTAGGCATTGTGGTAAACCCTTCAGATAATTATCGTTATGCTCCTCAATCATCAACTTCATCATCATCATCATCATCATCATCATTTCTTCATTCATTATCATCATCATCATCATTATGATCATCATCATCATCATCTTCATAAATGATCATCATGAACTTCATCATCATCTTCATCATCATCATCATTTATTCATTATCATCGTCACCACCAGTCCACCATCATCATCATTATTATAATGTGTAACTCTATTATCATTTTAAATTCTCCTATGTCGTCTTGCTCATTTGCATTGCTATTACTGTTGTCAAAAACATACATGTGCCTACATGTACATGTATTCAGGTTCATCAGCATTAAATCACATGCATGTAGCACTGGCAGTGTTGCTGCTTATTGCAAGTTGTATTATTGTATGTGCATCTATGCAAAACCACTAAAATTAGACTACATGTATATGCTGGATGCTATAAATAATTTCTATTCTTTCACCTTGTGCCATATTATCATCATTTATTCAGAAATGTTATTTTCAAGAAATCTTGTTATTCCCTCTTAAAATTCAATGAAATTAAATGAAATCTTAATCAATGCCAACAGAAAAATTGAATACTGCTTCCATTGATTTTGGTGCTCATTTCACACTGGTCCTGCAAAAAATTTAATTTGTCTACCGATATGCGCTATGGGTTGAAATCCTCGGCTGCTACATTGTTTTTTGTTGTATTTTACATACACATCCTATGTTTGAAAAAAGGTCAACTTTGGGGGTCCAGAGCTTTTTCCATTAGTTGACCATTCAACCAAATCAGATAAATCGTATATTTTGCAAAACAGAACACAATGCAATTGTTTGAAAGCGATTTGTGGTCAAATTATAGCTCTTTGTAAGGTCACATGAGGCCCATTTACACAGCTCAAAAAAACATTTTGAAAATCCCTTAGGTTTTTGCCATTTACAATACTGGAAAAACCCATTAAAAAATGTCAGTGTTTGCTTACTTTGCTTTTTTGATGAGTAGTGTGCAAGCGCGACTTGTCGTTGTTCTGCATGCAATTGCACAAAAGCAAAGAGAGTCATGTGACCCCAAACCGAAATTTTTCACAGATGTTAATAGAGCTAGCATTTACACTGCAAACATTTGTTAAATTTCTGCTGGCATTTCAACAAACCATACTCTACAGATGGGTTTTTTAACTTGTTTACTGGTAGTTGCCTAGCGACTTCCAACTTCTTCAAATCAGTGCCCTTCTAAACAAAGTACATTGTATGACGACGAATAGCTGAAAAGTTTCGACCACAGCTGTATACCGAACATGTGTTTAGTTACATGTACATGTGGGTACAATGTAGTTCCTCATCCATTAGTGTACCGGTACATTGCACATTATTTTCAGCAAGATTGAGTGAATTTCCTTTCATTTTGATCATTCACAAGTGTCATGCACCACTTCTTATATACTGCATAAACAATCTTTGACAATTGTTTCCACACAGTTTACTCCTTAGTGAGTTGCACGGCCGGCCAGTACTCAATTTGATGTGGAATTGTTTTTCCAAGAAAGATTCACCTCTTGAGAGTGTTCTTCTCGTATTCATACATGTCAACGTAAACACTTGTACTATGAAAAGTGAATTTTACAGGCCTCATCTTCCCTCATGTTTGTTAGTGTGCAGTTCTTCCAATTTATGCATTAAAGTCCTACATTTAAAAATGTTGAAAGCAGTATATGGAAAATGTTACAGGTGCAAGCAATTTTTCTATATATATCTTAATTTCTTATACAGTCTGGAAATGTAGGAAATGTATTTGTATACAAGGACTTGAAACTATCAGATTCCCAGGACAAATGGGCACCCAAATTCTGAGTCCAGACCCCCCCCCCCCCTCCCATTTTAAAATTTTGTAGTTACATAGTTCTCATGCATACTGTAGGTCTACGGACTAAATAGTTCAATCTGGACTTCCTCCCCCAAAAGTTAGTGTGGAGCCCTCGTATTAATTGAGATTAGCTTTAGTTGTATCTAAAAATTATCTATTTTTTCATTCAAACCTCTCTTTTTTTGCTTCTCAATCTTTAAAAAAAAAAAAAAAAAATAATTCTCACTGCCTCCCCCTATTGCTTTATTTAGAACTGCTTTCACATGTACTACATGTATGTAGGCCTATGTGATAAGAGTCAAAATGACATTAAAGACTATACATGTAGTACCGGTAATAATAATAACATACATACATATTACATTTATAAAGTGCTTGATACAATGTTTCTAATCACTTAAAGGTAATACAAAGTTTTGGGAAATTTTGAAAATTGGGTGGATAGTGAATCTTTACAATTTTGATATATTTGGATGCCCCTGTGGATGTATTATAAGCACTCAAAAATTTAACCCCTAAAACACTTCTGTTTTCGAGAAAAATTGAATATAAAAATTTACTGGTACTCCCGGTAAATTTTGATAAATTTCCAATAGCGCCTACGGCCGTACAATGGTACATGTACATTGTAGCTGCGACCATGAAAATCTCAGAATACTGTATGTAGTTGTGATATAATTTCCAAATGGGAATAGCTAATCGGTCGATTTCAGTCAAGAAACATTGTTTCATAGCTAAATTAATATCTTGGTCTTGAGAGGGAGCTATACAACATGAAGAGTTTATTATTTATAATTTCATAACTTTAGACTCGATTTCACCGGGACAACGATCAATGAATATTGTAGGGACGCATATATGCTTCCTATATGTTAATTTGAACCAAATTCATGACCCCATACCAAAACTTTGTAATACAAAAATACAAAGTAATGTAAACCTACAAGTTACAACAATATACTGTTTATGATGATACATAATTCTAATAACTAATTCCTTATAACATTCATAATACTGATATAGCGCTTTATAAATTAACAAACAAAATGTAATTACATTACATATTGAACAGATATTAGGTTTACTCTTGAAGGCTTCTCAAAATCGGGACTCACGTA